GGTTCTTGTATTGTCTGAACTCAGGCAAGATAGGAAACTGTGATGAATCACTTATAACCCACAAACCATGGGTTCTGTTCTTTGTGATTAATAAGCCATGGCTTGTTAGCACAACCTGGTTTGGACATAGCAAAATAACTCATGGTTTGACAATAAGCCATGTTTCAAGGATAATCCATACTCAGCCCTTGGTTATCATGTTGGCAGAATTCAGACACTATCATCTTTATAGACATTGAGAAAAAGAAGGAATGCGGTTTGGCACCAAGTTCAGCCATAAGATTAAATGGAAGTGCCACAGAAGTACTACTGTTCATCCCAAAGCAAGAATGAGGAACCTTTCCCCACTGCTTCAAGGGCCATGTTCTCTTGGGAAAAGGTGCTCAGGAGTCCCATTTGGCTGTGGGTGGCACCATGCACGCAACTCACCTTTGCTTTCGCCACCTCCCCCACACATACGCACACCCTCCAAGGGCACTTCCTGGGGGTTGCGAAAGAGGGGCAAGGTGGAAAGGTTGGTGGATCATATTCTGCTCACAGGAGGCAAGTTCCCCATCCCTGCTCTAAACATTCACAAACTTTCTTGGCGTGCTGTAGGAATACTGTCATGCAGCTGGCAGAGCAGCACTTAATTTCTGCAAAGGCAGGTGCCATGGACTTGCATGGAAGACCTTATGGATCAAGCAGAAGTAGTGTGGGGGAGCCACTCCGTATGCTCAGAGGTTCTATAAAAGGTTGCATCATATCCATATCTTGAAAGGAGTAGCATCACTCAGCCTTGGCCTAGGAGGAACCAGTGGCATAGCACTGGGAAGCTAAGCACGTGAGGACCAGATCTTTGCTTCTGGAGGGAGACTCACTAGAAAGTTGGAGTGAGTAAATTGAAAACAACACGGAATAGCAGAAGGAGGACGAGCTCTACAAGACAAAGGCCACCGGTATACCTGGTGCAGATTCTTCCCCCTGCAATATATATCCTATTACCCCAAAATAAACCTCTTCCCCCCTGAGTTGGAGATAAGTGATGGAAATAACTTCACCAGGTGAATTTCCGCAGGTCCACAGGAACAGATAATGATACAGGGCCAGAGAAGAAAGCGGCAACTTCACCAATGGGTTCTCTTTCATCTTCTTGTGGTCTGCTGGAGAAGCCACTTGGCATTCCTGCCCCCTAAGTGTGTCCCCTCCTATTAGAGGCACTTCTGCTTGGACACCCTGATTTTGTTTCTACTGAGGGGCTTTATAATGCATATGGCTTGAAGTTGCAGTCATGCCCCTTACCAAGGTATAACTGCAACCATTTGGGGAGAGAAAAAGAGAACATGAAGAAAGATGGAGGGCAGAAGGGATGAGGTTGTACCCCTCCACCTGAGCAGAAGCCCTTCCTCTACACCCAAAGTGCTGTATCTTCAAATCGTATTTTAAATTTGATTTTAAAATTTATATTCAAATTGCTGAGGGGTTTTCTTTAATATTTAGTGGTACAGAAATAGTACAAATAAATAAGAAATAAATCTAAATAATGGCAACAAAGCAGCCATTGTGCTGTAGTTCGTGGAGTGGGGAGGAGTCTTTAGCTGAAGCTTAGCTTTTTTCCTTCCCCGCATCTGTAACTCCAAAGCATCTCTGTCCCTCTGTGCGTGTGCAAACACACACCCATTTGCGACTGTCCTCCAGCCAATATTGGGTGTAGCCCTTGGGCTGTGCACTCCTGCATTAGGAGCTGTCTTTAGGAGTGCAGAAAGCCTGCACACTAACCTCATGTTACCCTATTATTTTGGGTTTTGCGGGGAGGAGTCAGAGGCACACCTGCTTAGCTACAACACAACAAATAAGCAAATTATAATAATAACAACTACAAAACAACAGCTTATGATTAAACTACGTTTCACTGTCTCGGGTAGTTCTCAAGGGAGCTTGCAATTTAAATCGATGCTTAATTCAGTATAAGAGATGCATGACAGCCTTTGACTTGAAGAAACTTCCTATTGTAATAGTTATTTTATTCTCTCCCAAACACTGCCCTCTGGTGGTAGACTTAAATCTCTCTCTCTCTCTCTCTCTCTCTCTCTCTCTCTCTTTCTCTCTCTCTCTCTCTCTCTCTCTCTCTCTCTCTCTCTCTCACACACACACACACACACACACACTGCAAAAAGTGATTCTTTCTTTGATTTTCTGTTACTCTGTAATGTTATTGAGAAATTCCAGTATTGCTCACTATCTGTTTGCCAAAATAATTGTGGGGAAAAAATAAGTGGCAAAGCACAATCAATTTAATTCCAGAATTTCCTGAAGTCTTCTCTTGAAGCAGAATGTATCACACTTGACATAATGATAGCAGACCACTCCTGTGTCAGAATCGGTTACCAGCGAATCCCTGCAAAGTGGACTGTGGCTGATTTAAAGTGCATTTTGGACAGGGAATGATGGAAGTACTTAAACTTTCCTTGTCTTGTGCATCTCTCCTCACTCCACACAAATCCCACTACTTTGTTCTGATGGGTGGAAACAGAAAGTGCAACTTTTTGAAGGATGGGGAAGTGCAGAAACTTTGCAGATTTGGTGATGGACTAGCCATTTATGGAGGCATTTCACAAAATGGCTTACCTGCGGACTATCCTATTGTGAATGGGTAAGGAGTTTCTGCACAGAATCACCCTGTTGGTTTGTAACTCTCTGAAGGTGCTTAACGTGGCAGCATCTGTTGCAGTGTTAGTGATGTACTTGGAATACAAGGAACTGACAGCGTGAGAGCTGCATTTTGAAAAATATTGTTAACTCTTTAACTCTCCAGTGTTCAACCCTGTTATACTAATATTTGGCATTAAGTAGATTAATCTTTTATGGAGCAAAACTGTTTTAAATTCGATTCCTTTCATTTATCTAGGCTATAGATAAAGCTTCAACATCCTTTTCCTAACCATCCTGTTCCTAATCCTGTCTGAAGAAAATCATTGCAAAATCATAGAGAAATACATATGACTTAAGTCACCTGCAACTAGCTGGTATCTTTGGTTTCAGGGAGATGCAGAGACCGGTCCTATGCACATGTAAAGTATGTCTCACTGAGCTTGAAGAAACTTATTTTAGTATTACTTGTGACTTGCATGTACACTCAATTCTACTGTGGATCCTCGGGCAACTGTTATGCCAGGATCACAATTTATAACTAACTGCAACTTGACCAGGGCTATTGGCTTGGATCAAAAGAATTACATGGGCATGCTTTGCAAGGTTCATTTTTCTTTGAACAGCAGGTTCTCTCCAGGCACTCAGTTTCAAGGAAGGCATGTCAGGAGGTTGCCATTCAGGAAGCAGAAACTCAAAGTCCACCTTAGGATCATGATGGAACTAGATCAGCTGATCTTTGGACGCTGTCCATCACATGCAAGTGCATCTCATCCATCCACTTCCAGTTATACTTACAATACAATCCCTGTGTCAGAAGCTTGATTTCCTAATATTCATCCAATACATTAGTACATCAATACTTCCCCCCTGCTATCTGGTTCAAAGAGTCCTTTCTTCTTTCAAGGACTGCCTTTCCCTCATGCCCATTCCTTATTTCTTTGCAATTCACACCAGTCTGTTGTTTTCCCACCCTCTGCAATTCATACTGCATTTTGTTAGTTTTATTGCTGTTCAAACCAGTTCTCACCTCTCTAGACCCCCTCCTTTGATCCTCAAATTGAGGTTATGCTGACGTGTCAACATTAGGTTACACAGAGTTCATCTTGCTCTCATCTCCCACCTCTCTCCTTGGATAGGAAGTTCAATACGGCTGCAGTGATTCCACTACTTATAACTATGGGGTATGTAGGGAAAGCTACACAGATGCCAATTCTGGCAACATTTGCATGGGATTGCAACCCCATTTGCCAAAGCAGCACAATTCCTACCTGATGCATTCTGGAGAGCCAAACCTGGGTAAAATGCCACACCAAGAGCCCTCTTATGGAAGTTTAAAGCCTTTACACCAGAAAGATTCTGGTCTAAGTAGATCTTGATATATGTGCCTCCATCACAGCTACATGCCTATCTCAAGTACAGTTATTTAGAATGATGCAATTTACAGTCAAGTGGATAAGATCTCCAAGCTATCACCCAAAGGTTTGGTCTGAAAGATCTGGGTTTAGGGCAGTCTTCCTCAATATTATTCCTTCCAGATGTTGTGGACTTCAACTCTCAGAAGGGCACAGCTAGCATAGCAAATGATCACGAATGCTAAGAGTTGGTCAAAACATCTTCAGGGCATCAAACTGGGAAAGGCTGGCTTGGGACCTGGCAAGGTGTCTTCTCTGAGTCACCTTCCCACAAAGCAGAATCAGTTCACACAACTAGAATTGCTACTGCGGCAGCACTACACACGCCTCTCTAAGGAAACTGAACAGAAATCTCTGATCCACTATGTGATGTGAATGTCCAATCACAACAAACTATTTTTGATCTTATATTGGTTTTAATATTTTTATTTGTAATTGTTGTTTTATATTATATTTTAATCTGTATTTTATTTTAGCAATGCTCACAGGTTTGCCACCAGCTCTTATTTACTATAAAATCATTTACTGGATCACAGTGAAAACAAACAATGAGACTTACTCCTGAGTAAGCGCTCACAAGACCTCGGACTAACAGCCCAAACTCTAAAACCAATCCAGCTGTTCAGCCGTTTGCACCCACACGCCACCCCCTTGTCTTTAATGGAGGTCTGCCCTGCACGTGCCAGAACACGAGGGCATAGAACGGGCTGTACCATTTCAGACAGCATGTGAGGCAAAACCATTTTTGAACAGTCCCTTGCAATAAACATTCGCGCACGTCTCACACGTTCACTTCATGAACATTTGCGGGGGAGGGGGGGACCTTGTAGTCCCGCCTGGCTGCTTAATTGGAGCGCATGCGCAGTAGTGCATGCAGGCGGCTCCATGGAGGCTGGGGCATAGACGCGAGGAGGACAGAACGGCCGGGTTGAGCACCACATCCGGATCCTGCGGTCCCGCCCTCGGTCAATGGAGACCACTGGGGCGCCCGGTGCCCTGCGGGCCCGGACGTGTCCATGAGGGTTGGGTCCTGCGCGCCCCTCCTTTGCTTTCCTTTCCTCTCCTCTCCTCTCGCGGCCTCGCCGCAGCAGTAGCCGCCCGAGAGCAGGAGGATGCTGTCGGCTCTGGCCTCCCAGCGCAGGGGATGGGGCTGCTTTTATCAACTCCATCTGCTGCGGCGGAGGGACCGGTGCCAGCCGGGGGTCTCCGTCGCGCGGACAGGCTGCTACGGTGAGCAGGGCAGGAAGAGGGTTTGGCAGTAAACACTTTCGGATCCGGTCTACAGCATTCTCCCCACGATTTCCTGTAGCTTGAGGACTAGACGCTTGATACTTCTCAACAGGGCAGAATGGGTTGTTCTTCTAGCAAAAGTGAGGTTAAGCGCACGAATGCCGGAATATTAGTATTAATATTAACTGGTTGGAATGGGGCATGCTGTAAACCCTTTGCCTTTATATAGAACATAGTAGTGGCCTGCCTTACAGGGTTTCTTTTAAGGATTATTGAGATAAAATATATGAAGTATTTTGAACTCTCGTGTGGAAAATACTTTCTAACGTTGCTTGTTCTTTACTAACAGAATTGTATTGCCATGACAGGGATGTGTGTATGTGTATCTGTGGGGAGGAAGAGCCCGCTATTGGCAAAGGCCAAGACATCCGTGTTTGGGGTAGAGGCAAAGGGCTGCGGTATTTTTCTTCTTCCCAGACAGACTTGAGTGGCAACCTTTCACTTTCGGTGTGAGTGGTGGAATGTGAGGCCGGTACCTGCTTCCTCTGTCTGGTGGCCCCAGCTGCTGGGAGCCAAGCCTGACCCTGCTGGCACAGTGCAACCCCTTCATCTGCATGGCAGCATCTTGGACCCTGTTTCTTGATTCTGCTGTGGAGCTGGGGTGGGTTTTTTGTTTTACTAGGACCACATAGGCTGTCAGTTGGTGTCAGATATGAAATAACAGCTGTGTGCAGACATGTTGGCAAGCTGGGGCACTTGACTACTCTCTGTGCAGTCCTCAGAGAAACAGTGATCTGAACTGGTTGTGGGGACGGAAGCTTGAATTTTACCCTTCTCCCAGAAACCTAGTTCAGGATAGTTGGGGCAAGGGGAGGCTGTAAACTCCCTCACCCTAACAGAGAGCCAGTGTGGTGTAGTGGTTAAGAGCATGGGACTGGGACTCAGACGATCTGGAGTGACTTTGGGCCAGTCACGGACTCTCAGCCCAACCTACCTCACAGGGCTGTTGTTGGAGGAGGAGATGTAAGCTGCCTTGAGCCCTTTGTAGGAAAAAGGCAGGAAATAAATAAAAAAAATGAATAAATAAATCCCATTACTAGGTCTCAGCTAGTGGGTATTTAAACCTACCCATCTCTGCAAGCTGAGAAATAGGTGAGCAGAGGGAAGCAGTTGTGTGTGCAAGTGAACCTGGCCCTTCTGTATTCAAGCATGTGTTCTGCCACTGAACTGGGGAATCCTTTGCCATCCTAGCTATTCTCTGTTATCTATATAGCTAATACCTTTTAGATCGAGGTGTGCAGAAAGTACATTTAAGAGATTTTGGGCTGCATTTTCAAGCATTCTTCATCATTGGCCATGTTGGCAGGGGCTTTAGGGTCCAAAATAACTGGAGATGGACTTTCTGCCCACCCCTGCTTTACACAAGACCCCACTCTGTTTAAACACAATGGACAGGATCCTTCCCTGTGCAGATGCCACACTTGTGCTTGGAGGAATCCTGTAGGCCTCAGCTATTTTTCCCAATCCATCCCCTCTTTCCCTCACTGAAAAAAGGTAGACTGATTAGGCCAGGAAGCACATATACATATTTTATTTTGGGTCTAAGACATGCCCATTAAAACATCTGTGCCTGAATGTCCACATTACTTATCAAAGGTGACTGGCAAGTGGCTATTTACAAACCTTTAATGCCTTCTATATCTGCCAGCAAGGCTTACTGGAGCAGTAGCTAATCTTAAAGCAGATGGTTAGTGAGCATAATAAGGTATTCCTTGTTTTCTGTGTTTGTGGTTTTGGCAGTTATATTGTGCACAAACATAACTGCTTGAGGAGCCTTTGGACTAGTGTAGCAGTTGAATGAATGAATAAATATAGTTGGAAATTTGAGGGAAATAAGAAGAGCTATGGGACAAATTGGGGAAATACGAGTATCTAGTTTTTCCACAGAGTGTTTAATTCAATGATAATATCTATTCTACTTTAATTACTTGTGAAACCTCTGAATGTGAAAATCCACATTTAGGCTCTCTGGACTTTTTCCTTTTACTTACTGCCTTCTTGTTATAGGTTGCTTTTTATTTTCTAGATTTTATATACACAGTATTTCTATTTAAGTATGTATTTTTGATCCTGTGTAGCAATCTCTTGCAATGGGACACTCTTTAGATGTGTTGTACTAAAGACTAAGTATTCTAGCTGTTGTCCAAAGTTTTGTCAATTGTATCAGTTCAGCAATTATGATTTCTTCTTGCCTGGTTTTTAATGTACCCCAAGGACATTCATTGCCTGATAAATGTATCAATAATGTTTTTTCCCCTCTGTTTTCTTTAGGATGGCAAGTTCCCCTTAAATTTGGAAGTCTTTTGCCTGTCTCATCAGGTTTCCCTAAACCTGTTTATTCAAGACAAGTGCGTGTTTATACCTCTGATGGTCAGAAAAATAGCACAGGAGCACAAGATGCAACTTCGTCAGCCCCTGAAGGCAATGCATCCAAAATAGCAACAGGTATACCTACCCTGCTTCAACATTTTCTTCCAAGTTTTAATAATATTTTAATTGCAACCAGAGATTTCTTTGGCAGCAACCTTTAATCCTCTATCTCAGATTGTTAAGTCTATCTTCTTGTTTTATAGAAATTAATCTGTAGATGTGATAACCACATTTCTGGTATTAAGTATCAAGGGTTTTATCAAGTGGAAATCAAACTAACTGAATGGTACTTGAGACATTTTGAAGTAATTTGCACATTTGCCATATGTATAGTATTAATGATTTTTTTTTGTGAGGGGAAGTTTAGCAACTATGAATCACAACTTGATTTTAAGATAAGTGTAAAGGAGAAATGAAAGCTTCTAATTATTGTATGGTGTTTTGATTGAAAACAGGAATTCTGGAATCCATAACTATTTTGGTGCTGAAATTCTAAGGGTGCCTGCTGACTTCCATTTTTATGGGCCTGGTCTAAGCTTAACTATTGTAATGCAACTTTTATTAAAGGTGAAATGATAGTTAAAGGTCATGGTTTTCAAGTTATGTATGCTTGTTTATTTGGAAAATTAATAAACTGCTGTAGGTCTAACAAAAAGATTCCTGAGCAATGAACAGTAGAAGAGAAATCACAATAGAAGAGAATTAAAATATTTAAAATCAGGTTATACCAATAAAATCATGGTTGGCAAACAGGAAATGCTTATTTAAATAAAATGTTTTTAGCAAATGTCTGGAATGAAGCAACATTGGATGAGAGGATGATACTACCCTAAAAGGTTTACTTTGAGTGGACTCCAGTCCATGCAGAACCATGAGGAGTTTTTCATCTGTTGATTTCTGGCTGAGCAAACTGATGTGGGAGAAGTGCTTTCTCATGCCTCCCAGTCCTGAGTTGTTTAGGGTTTTATTCACTAATACACCAATAACACAACCTTAAGCTTGATCCAGTCGCAAATAGGCAGCCAGTGCAATTCTACTTGCAAAGGTATTACACGCCCAAAGAGGGCAGCTTCTGACTGCAGTTGAGCTGCTGCATTGTCCAATTGCAGTTTCTGAACCTATTTGTTGGATGGCTCCAAACAGAATATATAGCAGCAAACTCTAGTCTTGTGTTTACTAGCACCTGTTCCAGTATGGCCAAGCTGTCCTTGTCCAGGTAGAAGGGCTGCGGGTGGCATCTGTTCATGGAGTGGGGAAGACACAAAGCGATTCATAGGAGATAATCTAGGAAGTTGCCTTTCAGTGAGTCAGATTACTGCTCTGTCTTGTTCAGTGTTGTCTATACTGACTGGCAGTGGGTCTCCAGAGTTTCAGAGGGGGATCTTTCCCAGCTGTTTCTGCAGATGCCAGGGAATGAATTTAGGTCCTTATACTTGCAATGCACAGACCACTGCTATGCTGTGGTTTTCCCCATAAGGTTCTCTGAGGGGCTCTCTTTCCAGAGTGTTAATTTTCTGTACAGTGGCTTTACACATTATCTTCTTGAACCTTGCTTGATCTAGAGATCAACTATTCTGTGTTTGAATAGGTCAGATTTTCCTTCATTCTACCGCCATATTACGGTTAAGCCTTCAAGCCACTGTTGTATATTTTTTAAAGGGCACATAATATTGCTTGAATCTTCAGTAGTAAATCTTGACATTTGGTAGGTGATTATTTTTGCTGATCAAACTTTATAGTATAACCTTTTCCTAAATAATGTCACTGAGTGTCCATTTTACAAGCTCATCCTAATAATGCTCACTTACTGCTGGCAAGCCTGAGCAAAACTATGATACCAGCCATGGTCTTATCAGTATAAAACCTGCCAATTTAGTACTCTGAAGATAGGGAGGAGCCAGCCTTCGATATCATTGCTCTTGATGAAGGGTCTGTTTTGAGTCTAAAGCATTACTGCCGTGTAATGGGATAAACAAAAACTTCGATATTTATGATATCTGTCTTCTCTATATAAATTATAAAATAAAAGACCAGCATAAGTTAAGTAGGAACTAATTGCTTGACATAAAAATAAATTATATAGCCCATGTGTACTTTAATAATACTTCAGTTCTGAGTAATTCATAGCACATGCCAACCCTTTTATACATAAAACACAGACCACCTTGTTGTACTTCACAGTTCAGAGGGCTAATGTTTTCAGTTTCAGTAAAATTAGTTTCAATTTACTGGTAGCGGATGCATGGCAAGCATCCAAATCTAGAGAATGAAGCAAAACTATAGTGCTGTTGTTATTGAAGTCATAAGAACTTAATTTTGTTGATGCATTTAATTAGGACAGAGATGTGCAAAGGAAATGCATGGATTTGTGGTGTATCTGTCCCAACAAAATATGGCACTTGTGCTGTGATGTACCTTGTCTAGTTTGCATGACCCAGCAACTCAGCCTGTGAATACATTCTTCAGGAACATATTTGCAGAAGAACTCACAGCATGCCTGACAGATGAGTGGGCTTCCTGTGGGTTGTTCCCACCCCCCCCTTCCTCCCAGCCCTCCATATGATATGCCAGGATCCTGCACTGCAGCACCCATGTTACCTCCTTCTCCTCGTTCTCCACCTGGCCCTGTTTTCATCCACCTTTGTTTTTCCCTGGGGCTTTGCATCAGTGAAGTTGGCTGTTACTGGCAGCAGCACAGATGAGATAGCCAAGAGTGGCAAGGGGGTTTTATTGCACAGCTTGCTTGTCACGTTCCTTAACCCACAATCAGTTTTCCTGAGTGCAGATAATATGACAACCCATTATGAGTTCAACAAACCCTGCAACAAGCATGGGTTTTTGGGGTGCCTTTTGCCCCCAAACAAGCCACCCTGTGAGAAGTGGTACGGATTTGTACAAGATGACAACCTACTGTGGCTAGTTACTCACTTTGGGTTGCCATGTTTTGCAAACCCAGATGTGTGTTCCAGGGCTGAATGAATAATCTTTTCTGCTATTTCATATATGAAGACTGACTGGATTCCCACAAAAAGAAAACCCATATTCAGGGTGGAGTATGGGTTGAGAGCAAGTTGTCATTGAACTGTGGGTTGCCATTGAAACTCAGGCTCTTGTGTGAACCCAGCTGCCCTAACAAGCTGAGGTTGTTACCCACAAACAACCCACAAAGGGGACCTAAGGTTTGTTGGGGTATAAACTGTGGATTGTTCATGGTTAAGAAACTATGGTTTGTTAGTGAGGCTGGGTTAGCACAATACAACAACTTGCAACAGTGCATTTTTCCTCTCCTCTTCCCCTTTTTTGCACTTATCATCCAGAAAGTGACTCCTGAAGTTCAGATTGAGATGTCATCGAAGGTCAATTCATGCTTTTTCAGTTACAGATTGTACTTTAATTTTTTGCATTGAATTGTTCTTTAATTCATAGGACCTTTGAAAATCCGCTGTTATGAGTCTTTTTTACCTTCTTTCAAATGTAGCAAAATGCCAAATATAAGCACTGGACCAACTCCTAAATTCTTATTTTGAACTATGATTGTAATTTCAAATGTTTATACTTGCAAGATACTTAAAGAGAAATGCAAGGCATATAATAACTGTTGTCCAAGCAGTTTTATTTTACTTTTGAAAAAGAACAATCTTTTTTGGTTATTTATTTATACATTTATTTTTACAGCTCGTGATGCTAGCAGTCAAACATCCATTTTGTCACAGCAACCTATTCATGTAAAAGGTAATTGATAGAGGCATGACTTTGCATGGGATGTGTGCATGAGTGAAGTATATTTGCAAATTCTCTTCAAATGTTGTGAATGAAGCTGCAACAAATGAGGTTGCATCTGAAAGCAAAGTCTTCTGTCTCATTTATGCTGAATGAGTTTTCTCATTCCTTTCAGTCAAATGCAGAATCTTAAATAAACTTTTTAAAGATTATTTAATTCCCAAAATCTCAGTCTTTGGCCCTCTATGCACAGGACCAAGTCAGGATTCTGGGGCATCTTCCCTTTCACAACCTGTTTGCCCCTGCTTTGCATCTTTTGGTAGCACAAATGGCTAAATAAACCAGAAATCATAAACTAGGTTTGTTCATGACTTGTGCATTCTTACTTGTTGGGAAGTAACCACTGTGATCCTGGGTTTGGATAACATGCTTTGCAAACCCATTCCTGGTTTGTTTAGCCCAGAAACAAAGCAGCTTCTTTACTGTTTGGAGCCAGTTCATTAGGCTCTCTGTGTGCTCCATAACATCCGTGGACATGCATTTCCACGTCCACTGACACAATTGCCACAGGGCACAGGGAAATATGGACTGAAGCAGTACCCAAAGGATTGGCTCCTCTGAGTGCCAGCCAAGTTCCTTTGCATAGCTCTTACAGTTCCCATCCGGGCTGTGTGCAGAATCCAAAAGATCACTTGGCTTGCGTCTGGAGAAGCAGTACCTCCCAGCAGCAGCTGAGTCCCAGCTTTGCACACCTCCCACCATCTTCAGTGGGGCGGTGCACAGTGTGCCAAGGCTACCTTGGGCAGCATCTGGAAGAGGGGCTCCTCCTGGTGCCACGGAGTCCTTGGCTTTGCACAGTGCCCACATCCTGCTTCTCCCCAGTGCAGCACTCGCCCTAACCTCTTGTGCTAGCAGGAAGAGCCAGGTGAGTGTAAATGGACTGCATGGGAAAGCGGCCTATGCTTATCTGCTTGAATGATCATTCCCTGTTGCTCTCACTGACAGCCTGCATTTACTTGGTCATTTCCTTATTACGTGTACTTTTCCAGTTACGTGCATAGTAAGCCTCATTCCTGTGGCAAAATAGAATACCCACCTATTTTCAGTGAACTGTGTGTGTACACCTGCCATTCTGTATATTGTGGCACCTCCATTACAGAGGGATTGGCGACGTCTGAGATTAAACTTAATATTTTTTTCCTTTAAAGTGAAAGCTGTTCTTAAAAAAAGAGAATATGGACCAAAATACATGAAGAATAATTTCATCACTGGTGTCAGAGCAATAAATGAGTTCTGTCTTAAGTCCAGGTATGATCATTTTTGAGTTTAAAAATTTAAAGTTTAAAGAATGAAATTCTTCCTTACTTGTGCTGAAATGCTAGCCCATAGGAAATGAAAATGGCAGTGATCAGAGATGTGCAGCATCCATCTTGTGGCTACTCTTATTTAACAGACAGTAGTCCAGGGGCTAGTAATTGGCATAAAGCTAAGACTTTTGCAGTTAATTGAGAACATGTGTGCAGGCACCACTGTCTAAATAAATGTGGCCATTGATGTATTACATAGAAAATCCAAAAGAGAGATGTTCATTTCAGACCTTGTGCCAAATCATGGAGTGTACTAACTATAGCCAAGATCCCTATAGCATGGTTTGATTTTCCAGACCTACAGTAGGCTGTGAGGAACCAAACTGTCCTTCTACAAGTGTCTCTGAACTAAGACAGTAGCCAGGCTGATGGAGACACTAAGAGCTATATTTGCAGACTGGTTTCAGGTCGGTTGAGCCTGTCAGGAATCAGTTGGAGGTGCATGTTTGGGTCTTTCCAAGCTTTGGGTCAGGTTGGCTTTCCCTCTCCAGGAGCTGGGCTTCAGCCGGGCTTCAGCCTATTTATGTCTTAAGTAAGTAAGTAAGTAAGTGGAGCTTCACTGTGCAAGAACTCATAACTTCAGTTCTGTTCCTTATTAGGTTTCTTAGGCCCCTGTTTGCCTCTTCTCCCTCTTCCCTTCCTATCATGTGTGCTGCATGCTACCTGGCAGTTTGGGCAGGATTGCATTTTGCGTTGTTTAGTGTTTAAGTATTTTAAAGTGCTCTACCAAGATGCAAAGAACGTGGTCAAACACTATTAACTGCAAACTCTGTGTTGTAAGTAAGGATGCTGTTAAATGGCTTTACAGGCAGTTCCTGGTTTACAAACGAGTTCTGTTCCTGAGAAAATAGAAATCAGATCATGTATAGTTGCCCCCCTCCCACATTTGCGGTGGTTGGGATGCAGGACTCCTTTGAAAGTGGAAAAAACCCAAATAAACCTTCTCACCGCCCCAACCTCACCAGTGCCTGCAGAAAGGAAATGCCAGAAAGATCTCCCTCTCTGAATGGGTGGGGCAGGAAGGCATGCTTTGGAGGCCTCCCTCTCTCTTCTTTCGCTTTTTCTCTCTATGGTGATGATTTTTGCAGTGATATTTTTAAATTAATAGGCTTTCTGGCAGTTTGTTGATAAGTATGGGTTACTCGTAACTCGGATGTTCATAACTCGGATGTTCATAAGTCTGGGACTGCCTGTATGCCATTATTCAGCCAGAAAAGTGGGACCGATGGACAAATGGTGATTATCTTTATTTGCATCAAATATCTTCAGGTCCTTTGGCAATTATATATAAAATATATTTTCAAGAAGCACTTTTTGTCTTTCAACAGTGACCTTGATCAGCTCAGGAAAATCAGACGGCGAAGCCCTCATGATGATACAGAATCTTTTACAGTGTTTTTGAGAACAGATGTGGAGGCCAAGTAAGAGCATCTCTGAAAACACTGTTTGGTTTTGGTTATTCAGAGTAACAGTTTTTAACATTGTGTAGTGTTTGGCTACCTTTTATAATTGGTAGTTTGTTCCTCATTATAACATCATGAGTGTCCAGTGGTAACAATGAAACCTTAATCTGTCTGAAAGTGAGCTTGGCAGAAGGAGGTCTCCCTTAACTTTGAAAGTTAACTGATGTCTCCACTTTGGGTTGACTGGCTTGGGTAACTGCTGAGGCTGACAACATACTTTCAGATCACCTGTATTAAAAATCCTTAAGAAGAATAAAATGAGTGCTTCACTTACTTTCCCTTTTTGATCAGAAGTATTAGAAAAAGGAAAATATATTTCACAAAGCATCAGGCATAGGACTGGAAGGAAGCTTTTTCTCTCTTTAATTCCCCCCTCAATACAGGTCTTTAGAAGTCTGGGGAAGTCCAGAAGCTCTTGCTCGAGAGAGAAAAAGGCGTAAAGAAGCAGAAATAGAATACCGAGAAAGTAAGTGTAGAATGCCACAGGAATCTCTTCATTGCTCTGATTGTGAGCATTACCTAACAAGAAATATGATATATTTAATTAGTAAATTATGTGTGATGCCAGCCCCTGGGATTGAAGTCATTACAAGAAACATGGGAGAAAGATCTTAGAATGTTTGTTTTCTGCTGTTGTTTGAAAATGACCTCCAGAGTCCCTTTCAACCTTATTATTTATGCATGTACACATACATCAACGGGAGAACATGTTGGTTTGTTGGCATATACCTTTGTTGGAGAAAAGCGCCAATCATAGCTGCCTGTCTACAAGTATACCTATAGTACACATGTTTTCTCATTATATGTGTGCATAAAACATTTTACAGCTATACATAAAAAGGCAGTATCTTAAGCAGCACCACAGCAGCGCTCATTTACATTTTTTGATAGCTTGATCTGTCCCAGAACTCTTTTCATGAGATTTATATGCAGCATAGTTTTGTGTTTGGTTAGGAAAAGAGTAGCTGAAATTCTGTTTTGTCCCTCCTTTCATATTGCGAATGGATCTTTGCAGATTTGTTTAGAAGTCAGCAGTTGTTGAAAGAATATAGAGACTTCCTAGGAGAAACAAAGGTAAGAAGATTATATTTGTTATGTTTTTTATGTCTTAGGGGTGCAAAGGTGTACTTGAAAATGCATGGTATTGGCTCTATGGTATAATTACCCATAGTGGAGTTTTCTATACTTGCTGTGCCTATTTTTCATTTGTTTCTGCAAGGAATCCTACATTATGCAGGCTTAGAAGAGATACAGTCAACAGGAAAAGTACAGCATAGTTTGGCCATGAACGGTTCCAATATGGACCATCCTCTTATATATAGTTACTTCATTGTTAGGAAGCCTACAGTGTTTGGCTGATTAATTCATGACATTACTTTTTTTTTATAGCTAAAAAGTGCCTTCAGTTAATTAGACAGCAGTTTCTTTTTTTAAAGTATTTTTTAAAGGTAGAAGACAGGACCTGTTGCTTTATGGTTGATGTTAGACTGCAGTTCCTATCAGCCTCAGTCAACCTGGTTAGTAGGCATGGATGGTGAGAGTTGTAGCTTGACAACATCTCGAGCACTGTAGATGTTTTAATACATCCAGTTACCAAAAGCAGCATGGCATACTCTGTCTTTGAAGAGGTATTCCTTCTTTCTGTGGCTGGGTGCATATAATACGACAGGCTAGAAGAACTTCTGAGAGCGTGTTGTCATTGAACTCAGGATTGTTGTTAAATTTTTGGTTGTTCTGTGTGACTCTGGTTGTACTAACAAACTGGTTTATTAACCATGAACAACCCATGAAGGGAACCCATGGTTGTTGGGCTGTGAACTCTAAGCTGTTCTTGGTTAACAAGCCATTATTTGTTACTGTAACTGGATTAACTCAGCTCAGAAACCCATGGTTTTTTGGACACCCACATTCAACTCACACTCTGGCCTGTCATGTATGAACCAGGTGAATGTCCCTTGCAGGAAGCCATTCTTTTTCCTAAGATGTTTGTTTCGCATCAGCTAAAAACAAAGTGTGTCTTCAGTTCTCTTGCTTTATTTAGATGTAGATTTATGCAGATTTAATTGATAAACATCTATACAATGTCTGCATATTTTAATGCTTCTTTAATCTGGAGTATAACTGAGTACTTGAAATTATAATAATATAGAATTGCACTTAGAAGGCCAAGTAAACATGTATTTAAAACTGTGTTCTTGTTTTTAATTTAGCCACGGTCCAGAGCGTCAGCTATGTTTCTGAGTGGACCAGGAAAAGTGGTCATGGTTGCTATTTGCATGTAAGTTTCTTTTTGAAGCTATGCATGATATGGTTCACCTAAAAGCTGACAGGGTTGTAGATGCACATGATATTTTGATTCTTTAGAACTGGATTGAACAATTTAATGCCAGAAGATAGAATTTTACTTTATATGTTTTGTGTATGTAAAAAATGAAGCCACCATATGAGACTCATCTAATTTATGCTAAATAAGCAACAATTTGGGCCTTTCCCCTTTCCCTGACAGCTGATCTTTTGGTGGTTTCCTGTCTGTTGTCTGTGTTTTTTCCCTACTGCCCATTCTAAAATGTTGAAATGCCTGTTCTAACATCTGTGTTGACCAGAACCAGCTTTTCCATTTTCTAACTAGTGTGGGAATCCAGGTTTGAAGTAGACTTGAGCATCCTGATTATGTGGCATTGTTACTATGGTTAGTGCTGATGCGGGCATAAGGGTGGTAAAAGAAAACCATGGAAGGGATAGGAACATTTACATGAACATTTTAGGAATCCTGTGAATCATGGTGGTGATGATCTTTTTTTTTCATTCCCAGAAATGGATTGAATTTTTTTTTCAAGCTTCTTGCTTGGGTTTACACGGGTTCTGCAAGCATGTTCTCTGAAGCCATACATTCATTAGCAGATACTTGCAATCAAGTGAGTAATCTCTCCAGTTGTGCATTTGTGTTGGGCATTAAATTTCAAGTATGGAAAAAGTAAGTTTTTAGTAGGTTCCAAAAATCAGGAAGGTTAGTGACAGGACATTTCTAAACTTACCAGAGCTGCAGCAGTGTGCAATTTCTTGCTGCAAACCGGTTCAGACAGCAAATAAAACTTGCCTGGGCACTGTGTGATTTTCCTCTTAGTTTCGTTGGTAGGTAAGAGGCCGTGTGGTGCTGATGGAACAGAAAACAACAACAGGAGGAGAGTTTACTGTGAGCCATAATGGCCAACCTGTATGAAAGGAATGCAAAATAGTATATCATTTTATGAAGCCAGTGTTAGAAATGACAAAATACTCCTGAATGGTTTTCAAGCAATATTTTCAAAATTGTGCCAAGCTGAAGACATTGGATGTTGCTGTGATGTATGTAAGAACCCACAATGAGTTGTTATTTCTCAAAGTAGCAACTTCAGCTTGATGATAAGTTTTGCCATTTGTGTTGGCAGCTGCAAAATAGTAACTTACAATTTGTTAATTTTGCCTCAATTGGTTTAACATGCATTTTCTTGAAAAGTACAGGGAAGAAAAGTAGCTGGTTTACTAGAGTAGAATTATTTCAAATGTATTTGTCAATGTTGAAATTTCATGACCATTTTTTTCATGTACAGGCTTTGCTAGCATTGGGAATCAGTCAGTCTGTAAGGACACCAGACCCAAGTCATCCGTAAGGATTTTATCTTCTTTGTTTACATGTGTTTCTGAAATAATTGACTTCATTTTTGAATTGAACACAGGCTTAAAATAACTTTTGATGCCCAGATTTGACATCTGTGTTTCCCTTTTGAGTTTTCCCAGCTTCATGAGCTAATGACAGAGTTCACGCAATCACCAGGGAAAAGAAGCCATACTGGCTTCTCTTTTCTGTCCCATGTGAGCTGAACATATACTGTATAATTTACCCAATTACCTTCATGGAGTGCAGGTTGCTGTATGATCAGAACCTGGCAAAGGGCATGGTGTGGGTTGCTTCTAAACCATCCCAAAACTCATGGCTTATTGTAGCCTCTGGAGTGCTTGGGAAGCCTCCCCCGCCCCCCGCATGCATCTTGCTGGGTAAGGATTGTCGCTCGTGCTCAAGCTGAAGCTCTGAAGAAAAGAGCTGGCACCTTGGGCCTTTTTATTTTGACCTGACTGGGTTCTGGTGGTGGCTCCCTTTGGCACTTGAAGGTAACAGGTGGCAAATGGCAAGCTCCGAAGCATGATATTAAGATGGGTGGGGGAACCTCAGGCTTGAAGACCCAGTCCCTCCCTACCCTGGCCCCACTACCGTTTTGCCAACGGCTGAACATGTGGTGGTTTCCCAGCTTCTGTTTTTGTGCTTTTCCTCTTTCTAAGGCTCTGTGATCCCATGTGAAAAATTAATGAGTAACTGGGGTTCATTCCTTCTTTGCACACTGAAATCTTTCATTGATGCCAGTGGAGAATGTTTTAAAGCCATAAGTGCCATCCCGGTAATTTTGGGGAGATCGCAGCTGTGAATAGAAGGGTTAGTGGTGATGTGTTGTCGTCCTCCTGAAAGTTTCCTCCTAGGCCAGGTAGTCATAGGAAGAACTTTCATTGGCACCAGACAAAGATTTTTAGAAAGCCCAACTGTTGCCAGAGTGGCTTATTTTCATGGGATAGCAGCTGGAGAGGCAAGGTTACCTTTCTCCTGCCTATGTCTTGGGAGTCCCCCCCCTTTTCTCAAAATCCCCTCCTTATGGCAATAAGGCTTTCAGGGCAAAAGCTACCATTATGACCTGCATCTGTAGGAAAGTGAATATGTGATGGTTCCAGCCCTCCTGCCTATGCCCCCAGCAGCCTTTGTCCAATGGAAAACAGGGTGAGGGAAGTTCTTTATCCATGTGTTGAGAGGAGGGCATCGCTTGGATTCTCCTTATCTGAGGCTTTTCATTTAGTGGCATTACTCATGAGAGCAGGTTGTAGGCTGGGTGGATCAGTGGTGTGATTCCTGTGTAAAAGTGTCATTTCCCCCCCTCCCCATCCAGGTACGGCTTCACAAACATGCGCTACATTGCATCCCTGATTAGCGGTGTTGGCATTTTCATGATGGGTGCAGGTCTGTCATGGTATCATGGTATTATAGGTTTACTTAATCCACAACCCATAGAATCTCTTCTTTGGGTAAGTTGTGTTTTAAAATTGCAGTGCTTTAACAAAGCTGTGCTTAGTTATAATCCTGTATTTTTTCCCTTAAAAAATCTCCAACCATTGCAAGACAATCAATGAGGAAAACCAACTGAGATGGGAACTTCTATGGAGATTTTTTTTAAAATAGTAACTGTTTGGTATGCTCCAGATCTTTTTGACTGTTGTGTGCAGCATGTTGCCCTCCAGATGTTGTTGAGCCTTTAACTCGCATACAGTATGGCCAACAGTCAAGGACGATGGGAGTGGTAGTCCAACAATATCTGGAAGGCTGCAGATTTCCTGCCCGATATAATAGACCGTTCAGTTGCTTGCTAGTCAAGTCCCATAACTTTGCTTATGTTTATCAAAAATTCACAGACTTTGGGATGTGTATATTGCTGGAACCAAACGGAAAATACTTTAAATTATTTGTGGAACACTTCCTATATCCTTTTTCAATATTACCTTGTACATGCACAGATTTTGGATGAAATTTCGCTCAGTTGGCACATGTAAAGGCTAAGAACAGGAGAGACAGGTTTTGAAGCGGCATCCTCATCCCTGCCCAGCTGAGTTTGGTAGCTTCTTGTAGTTTGGGGAGAAAGTAAGGATTTGGCAACTGTCACCCTGTGGACAAGATCCAGACCCAGAGGGTTAGACTTTCTTGCAATTTCTCCATTCTTTGCTGTGGTCTCTGTGCATCACACATATGGGCACTGGGCCTGCACAGTGCCTATTTTCATGCAGTTTCTCCATTTGGGTGGGGGGGGGGAGAGAGAGAGAGAACTTTCAACTTGTCTGAAATAAGATAGATATAATATTTTAATACCAAAACTCTTTGCTCTTGAATGTAATATATAAATGTGTGTCTGTATTTGAGTGCATGCATTTTAGAGCTTGGAAGCTCTTGTCAGATTGCATCATTCTATTATGGAGTCTTAGGTTAAAATATATATGCAGGTTCTGATATTTGAAGGAGTGGTTCTTGACATAAGAGAAGCTTGCTTTCCGGAAGGCAAACAATTATTACAACTTAATATTTTAGATCTCCTGTTTCAGAACATTCCCAAGATATAGAAAGTTATTTTTAAATTTTGTATGATTTGCAAGGCCCCCTACCCTATGTGTAACGACATTCTTTTTTCCCCCCGTTACTTTTAGGCTTACTGTATTTTAGCAGGATCATTGGTCTCTGAAGGAGGTATGCTACCTAGCAGCACCATGTGCTATTACTTAGTAGTGTGCCATTATTTTGCAGGTGTATTAGTAGATTCTTCACATTCAGAGTTCACTTGCTGCTAAATGTATGCACACATTCGCATTTCCTAATAGTGCCACTTTAGTTTGAAGCATGAATGCCAAACCAGATAGATTTTGCCATCAGTGTTGGGCACTCCCAGGCTGCTAACACTGTAGTCTAATACAGTTAACTTACGGACACTGAAGATACGTTCAGTATTTGAGTGTGTGCCCTTCTTTCTGAGGCTCAGAGCTATGAATGCCATTGCTTATATAATGAAAGTTGCACCACCCATGATCCTGATTTTCCAGGATTTTTAGCAGGCATGTCAAGATGCATTTGAATGGAAGCTGTGATTCGCAATAGTTTGAGCCATAACACTTCTGTAAAACTTGAAGGAAACATTAAAAAATAAGTGCATAATGGATTGAACTGGACATTTTCCTCTGTAAATATTTCACCATTTCAGATATCTCCTTTATCCCTTTATGCCCATATTTAAATATTCTGTTTAACAAATTGATTTGTTAAAGGTAGTCTTTTCTGGATTTTGAAAAAACAAGAAACTGATTTCCTTGAAGGTTTCCTTTTCTTCACATACATCCATTTTTGTTTCAGCTACTCTTCTTGTAGCTATAAATGAAATTCGGAGGAGTGCCCGGGCCAGAGGGGTGTCATTCTATCAATATGGTATGTATATATTTAAATTTGCTCACTGTGTTAAAAAACAGGAATAGAAGTAATGATTTGGATCCAGTATTGTGTGGAATTAACTCTGGGAAGACCTTTTTTACCAGTTACCCCTTCCATTTGCTGTCTGCCTGCCCCAAAATCTGTTCTCAAGGGTTTGGCCGCCCTCTGGAACAGTGTGCAGTAGTGCTGGGGGCTGTATGAGGTGGAGGAATTAGCATAAACTGCCACTCCCACCGGCTTCCTGCATTGGAAGCCTCCCCTTTGCCAAGAGCAGGAGCCTTCTGTTCATGGAAAGGCAACCTATGGATGCCATTTTTTGGTGAAAAAGCAGGACAGAAATTGATCAGATGAGAATTCCTTCCCTCCCTCCCTCCCTTCCTAACTGGTTTTGAATTTAGATAACTTTTAATTCCTTCCTTGTTCTTCATAAATGGGAGGAAAAGCCTTTTGGGTCATCTGTTGATACTGAGGAAATGACTACTATTGAATTTTATTTATTTATTAAAACATTTCTATGCCGCCCCTTGCCGTAGCCTCGGGGCGGCTCACAACATAATAAAATACACAATAAATTAAAACAATAACAATTAAAATATATACATTGCATGTCAGCAATGTATTGCATGTCAGCATGCAATGTCAGCATTAACAGGTCCCAAATTCTACTTTATCCATAAGACCACGTTTAAGAAACGATGTTTAGATCGTTTTGAATTAGAGGTTTGGACAATAGCGTTAACTGTACTTCAGGACATTGAAATGCACTGTCTGAGACCTTGTTCATTATCCAGTTATGCAGGCTTGTGATCCCAGTACCAATGTTGTGTTGTTAGAAGACACCGCAGCAGTTCTGGGTGTGACGTTAGCTGCTACGTGTATGGGTTTAACCTCCATAACAGGTAGGCATCTGCATTAAGTAAACACTAGCATGGAATGCTAGCCTGACAATTTTCCTGAAATTTGCAAGCAAGGTGTAAAGCAGGGTCACTTTATACAAACAGTAAAGTTGGTAATAGCATTTTTGGCATGGTCAGAACAAACTAGAATGTATGGAAGATTGCAAGACAAAATTTTACCTGGATTGTATCACTTCAAGTTGCAGCATAGAGATTGTGTGTTCAAATGTATTACCATGAAGACAATCTGTAAAATTTGGGCCTGCTGGGGCAAGGCTAGTCTCAGGTTATATATAAGGAGTTTTCTTTACTGGGGCAGCATCCAACATGCAAACTCCCAACTAAAGCCTTAAGGCTATATCCTAGAAAAAGAGTTGTCAACATTGTGTTAGCTGTGTAAGCCCCTGTGAAATTAGTTAATAGTAGTTTGATTTTTTAGAAAGTGTGTGTAACAAAACAGAACCAAACCATACCTTGAAGAGACAAAAAATATGGCAACTTCCTTTTGGGAGGCAATAATAATTTGAATTAACAACAACAGCAACAATACATTTGTCATTTCCAAACATGGATAAGCCACATTTATCTGTAGTGGATTCTAATCCACAAAAGTTTATGCAGTAATACACTTAATTTTGTTAAAGAGTGACAGACATTTTAAAAGTTTGCTCCAACAAATTAAGATAACATGGTAAGGGCTCTTTAGCAAAGTGTATAGTGTGGGTGACTTATTTCTAGGTTACTGTTTCCATAAAGTTGAATATGTGAAAGGATTCCCTTTTGGGGAATTGATGTGTATCTGTGTCCTTTCAGGTAACCCATACTATGACAGTCTGGGGTCTCTAGGTGTGGGAACTTTGTTGGGAATTGTCTCAGCATTTCTTATCTATACGAACACGGAAGCACTGCTGGGGCGATCTATCCAGCCTGACCAGCTACAGAGGCTTACAGAGTTATTGGAGAGTGACCCTGCAGTCAGGTGAGAGGCTTAGATTGACAACCTTATGATTGCAGAAAGATCATTATCCACTAACTGGTAGGGTAATGACATGGATGGAATTCTCATTGGAGGGAAACTGTTTAAGGGAAAAAAGTAACAATTTTGTTGTGAAGTACTTTACATTTATCAGTTTTTAAACACCTAATGGCTTGTTGTCTTTTTGCTTTGTCCTGCCACATCTTACATAATACTTACCTCAGAGCAATTCATGATGTTAAAGCTACAGATATGGGAATGAGCAAGGTGAGATTCAAAGCAGAAGTAGACTTTGATGGACGGGTTGTTACTCGGTCTTACCTGGAGAAACAAGACATTGAACAGCTGCTACAAGTATGTTGAAATATGCATTGTTTCCAACAATAAGTTTTTCAAATGTGCACTGAAAGCACATTTTGCTGGTAATAGATGTTGCATACGCTATACATATACATAATTACTGTCATATTGATGAACTCTATACAATCTACTGTGTAGATTTTCAGATGGAAAAGAGGTGTATAAATGTTTTAGTATCTAAAATCAAAGAGAGATTTGAAATTGCTGTATTACTTCACAGCACATGGCAGCGTAAGTGAAAAGCGGTTTTCCCCTTTTTAAAAGGGGAAGCCTTAAAATGTTCACAGACATTTCAAGTGGTAGAAAAGTGGAAATGGTCAATATCAAAAGGTCTCCTTTTAGAAAATCAAAAAGTCATGCTTTTCTTGCACTGTACAACTTCAGGCTACAGGTGGTGTTACTGATTTGACTATTGCCTGTTGCCAAAGGGTCCTGACGGTAGAAAACTATCATGCAGGGAAACTCAACCTAGACTTTGTTCAGCCTAGCCTATATCTCCTGACATGAAAATATTTGGGGGACGGATTGTGTGTAGTGGAACATACAGACTTACAGCTTCCCTTTAAACCCAATCTGACATTGTAGTAATACAGAATAGCTTTATCGCTTATGATTGTATGTAAGCCAAGGACAAGTTCAGCTTAGATAGAACCTCAAAATGATTGTCCGCTCCTCTGACATTCAGCAGCTCTCTTGATAAGAAATCAATTTGCAACTAGTGAAGTAGTTATCCATAGTTTTGGGGGGTGCACTTCAGTTTGGCACCTCATGGAGATAGAAAGCAACTCAGTGCAGAAACAATGTTTTGGAGATTTTGTATGCCCCCTTGCTGCTGTCTGTAAGTCTGTTAGAACAACACATACATTTCTGAAAGCTGTGTTCCATCATATGATCATCCATATACTTGTGTAGCATGGAAGAAAATGTGATGATTACCTGACGTAGAATGTATCTATGCTTCTTATCAACATCTCACTATTTTTCTAACGTGAGCATTTTTGATCAGTATTGGACCCAATCAATGGTTTATCTGTTCTTCAGAATTGCTTTTCTCTTTAGTCTGAAGCTCCACTTCCTAAGACTAGAAATGCAAAATTCCATCCAAAACTATGGAAAGTCGCTACCAGGAAGTCAAACCTTTGGTCCATCTAATCTAGTGCTGACAAATTCTAACAGCACAGTCCTCTGTGTGCGTCCTCAGAAGAAAGTCTCATTGTACTCAGTGGGTCTTTCTCCCAGGTAAATTGGCTGCTTAAAGGTTTAGCTGGCAAATTCTGGCATAATCTATCCAAAATTAAACTCTTCTGATCTTGCTAGCACACAGCTATTTAAATTATTTGTTTTTCTATTAAAATAATGGGACTTAAAGTGCTTTAAAGGGCTGGGCATGTCCTTTGTACTGAATTCTGCTATGTGATCATCAGCTTTTCATTCATTACCCAAAAATGTAGCTTAAAAAGGAAAGCCTTCTTAGCTTTGAATAATTGTTTTACAGCTGAAGAATGATTGTAATTTAAATACAAATGGAACTGTTTTTAACCTACCTTCAGATAAAAACCTGTGCCAAAGTCAGTCCTATATAGCTCTGAGGAAAGCTGGATTCTGCGGCCTATATGAATAATGTAATTTAAGTAGATGTGTGCATATCTCCATAGAGTTCATTGTGTTTCTGTGCAATGGGCAATTTGGAATGTAGGCCTTGCTGTCTCACTTCTGGGAGTCCAAATGAACCTTTGGAGATTTTAGTAGTCATTGTTTGTGGGCCATAAATCTTACTTTCACATCCACGAGAGAGTGACAATTATTTTAAAAATAGTGAGTTTCTCAGTATTGCAACACAATTTCTGCACTTGTGCAAAATCTTTTGATATGCATGGTCCTGGAAATAACCAGTTGATGTCTATGACAGTGTTGTGTTATTCTAGTTTTGTTTTCTGATTTTCCCTTAGTTGACATGGAAATAAGACTAGGCAATGATTTAAACAGTTCAAAGATAAACCCTTATTCATAGTTACATGACAAGTGGCATTTGAAAATAAATGCTTTAAAAAACACTGTCCCTTTGCTAATACTACATATTATTATAGAAATGCAACATAGAACTGGCATCTATTTCATAGCTTACTTGTCTTTAGCTCTTATGCTTAATTTCGTGACAGGAAATCCAGCAAGTGAAGACTCTTGAGGAATTAGAGACTTTCATGCTTAAACATGGTGAAAATATCATTGACACACTAGGAGCTGAAGTAGATCGACTTGAGAAGGAGCTAAAGGTAAGTGTTGTCTGAAGAACAGGGATAATGATAAATATTTGATTGGGAAACTGGAAGAGTCTGCAAAAAACTCCTTTTGTAGTAATTAGTGCTTCATTAAGCCACTGAGTATATTTTAGGCATTGAGATGGCTAAAACCTATGATGAACAAAGACTTAAAACAGACGTGGACAGAAGGTAGAAGCTCAGGTGTTTTGGACTACACCTTCCAGGGAAGTCCCTGCAGGCACAGTGTGACAGATTTGTCCTTATTTAGTGATATTATGGTAAGAAGTTTCTGCATTGCTCATCCCATGTCATATTTGAGGCAGTGTGTCACCAAGAAACTCTACATTTAGCACATTCCTGGTGTTAACACATGTTGTTGTTGTTTAATAAAGAAGTCTTGAGATCAGGAGTGTCTTTCATTGTTTATTTTTACAGCATAGTTCGATGGCTGCTGGTCAATCTAGATGACCACAGGATTTTTCAGAGTCACAGCTCTGACCTTGAAAACTTGGTCTGAAGTTGGAGCTGGGACTCCAAACTCAAAGCACCCTCCCCTGACCCTCACAGTTAGTGCAGAAAGTACTGCTCTGGTTGCAACTTCCGGGGGGCAGGTAGCGGAAGCTTTTGCAGCATCCTGAGGATGCCTCACATTCCTCACTCCAAGGAGGAACACTAAGATGGCTGAAATCAGCTCTCTAAATGGTTTGCATGGTGGGAGGAGCATGGCGGCAGCCTTGGTCTCTGTGCTCCTCCCACCATGCAAGGGGATGCTTGTAGTTCTCTGAGCTTGAGGAGCAACCTCAGTGGATGGCACTCTTAGGAGTTTAAAGCATCTTACTCCATACCACTTCTCAAGTGGTAGCAAAATGGAGCAAAGAAGTCAGTGAGGACCAGTGCTACTGGCTTCCTGAGGACACATGTTGAATTTTGCGAGAACCAATGTTGGTTCTGAACGCCCTGCATTTCCCCCTCATATTATGATTCCTTATTCACACTGTATACATGATACTTCTCCAGACATTTCTCTAGAGGTGTATTATTTTTGCAGCTATGTTTTGGGAGTAATACATTTTCTTCATAACTTGTTGTCCTGTGTTATCTTGGTAAGGGGAGTTAGTTTGCAAGTGACTTGCCCCTAGCCACTAACCTCTTTTCAATCCAGATCCAACGCATGATCTATTATGCTGTGTTGATGCTCTCATTGTATGGATGCTGAAAGTGTGTTTACTTTTCTTTCAGAAACGGAATCCTGAGGTGCGACATGTCGATTTGGAAATATTGTAGACTTCATGGAAGCCACTTTTAAGATCACTGGTCTGGATAAACCAATTTTAGGAACAGAACAGCATCTGAAGCAACAGGGATCTCAAGCTGTTGTTGCTTTCAGGGTCAGGATCTTAGTGCTGATTCTTCTTTTCTGGAACAGCAGTGGCTTTTGTTGGACTGGTTTCCTGGGACAACTGCTTTGCCATTTCTTTACATTTGAATCTGTAGCACAGATGAAAACTTGGGACTAGAAACTTTAAATTAACTAAGTTATTGAAATGCAAGTTTCTGAAAATATACACTATATATTTTCAAGTTTTTGTACCTTGTTTGCATATTAGTTCCCATGCAGCTGCTATTCCTAAGCATTTCTTGGAAATCTTGGAGATGTGTCCATGCCCTTCTAAAGGCTGCTTTCCTTCTCGAGTCAAATCAGTGTAGCTCAGTTCTGTAGTCTTTCTCTGACTTTCATGATAGGAACTCAGAACTGTTTAATCTTTCTTGGCATGAGTGGGAAACATTCCTTGTTGTTGTGTTTAGTGGTTCTCAACAACTTACAAGTACACACCAGTTAGAATGCTGCCATTTATTGTCCTAGAATAAGGTGAGATACTGTGTCAGGACTATATCAACAAGTTGACAGGACGTTAGGCTCCTACATCAGGGTTGTGACCTATAGCTGCTTCTGGCAAAGTCTATGTGATCAGAGCAGATTGGGCGGTTTTGTTGTTGTGGCATTGGCATGTACTCCTTATGGACAATTTGTGCTGACCACATAGATGAAAGTTGCAGGTATTCCTGTGAGCCATATGGGAGCAACTATGCAATGGCAATAGCCATGGTCTTTGTGGTAGGGTAGAGACATGGTATGTCTCTCCTCTTTCTCCTAAGAATCTTAGTTTTTTAATCCACTTGCTAACTTTATTGCTGCCTACCTTTTAATGAATGAAAGTACAACATGGAGCTTGTGTGTTAATGTTGGTTGCTTGCTCTAAATACCCATTGTTCTTTTTCCTGTTTAATTTTTCTCAGTTCTGTGGCATTCTGTCTATATTTTGTTTGATGCAGGAAAATATATGATACAGAAGGAGTTGCACATTCCCTCCTGCTTGCTGCTATCTGCTGGTACAACTATTAAGCTAGAAAGGTTGCTTAACATGTCACTGAAACCCAGACTTCTGACTTGTTGCTCTCCTCATAAGTCGGAATTGCAGTCCAGAATTTATTCTTGGGTTATGGTTTTTTGTTTGAAATCAGCAAGCCAGGAGTCCTCAGATTGGACAACACTAAACAAAACCTACCTGGGAGTAGGGAGGAGCAGTGCAGGAGCAAACATTCTGCATCAATAAACATACAGCTTGTTCCGATAAGCCAGGATCCTTTGGAATTTTGGCTTAATGTCTGTGAATGTAACCATGTTTTTAACATGCTCTAAAACGCATTGAGACTATTGTCATAATTCCGCCTCCAAAGAACTGTGCAACATGCTTTGTACTCCTAAGAGGACTTTGGACTTCCGTTTTTCAAACAGCAAGCTGTTTGTGAAATGGAGGGGGTTTCAGAAGCAATTCATGATAATAAATACATGCTCCAAAATATCACTTAAAATAGCACAAGCAGCATTTCAAGTGACTGTTTGGATCCCGGCTAGAATATTTAGTTTATTTATAACTGGTGCAGCTTATGTAGCTCTAAATGGCAGATGAAATTTTATAGCATGAAGCATCTTGCCTGTGGAGAGTACAGCAGCCGCATTGTATGAAATTCTTGCTTTCGGTAATTGTAAAACGGAATTCAGAGACAGTAGGAGCCTGAAAGACATGGAAATCCAGATTGTAAACTCCTATACTTGTGTGATAATCTTGGAACTTTGTAGTTTGGAAGAGGTTTTTTTTTTTTTTTTAAGTAAGAGGAAGTGTACTCTGAAGGTAAGTGATTAAGAGGGTTGTAGCTTGTTGGAGATGAAAATTGAATAGAAATTCTATAGTTTAGGAGCTGGTCCTCACATTTTACATCACATGAATATTCAGGATGAGATTTGACAAGTGACTGTCTCAAAGCATTGTTTTGAATGTTCTGATGAACTCCATCTGGTATTGGTTCTGTGATGGCTTGTTCACAGATTCATGTTCCTTTTGATGTCTTTTGTAATGTGATGAGCACCCATGTGTAGAAGTCAGCTCTTCCTTAGAGAGGCTTTGTGCAAATGTACTTTACAAGCAAAAGATTTTATGCACTTTAAAATATTGGAAAGTCTTTGACATGAAGGCAGTTTCTCTGACTTCTCAGTGATGCACAGTGGCTTTGATAGTGCTGTGGGAACCTGCCTTGAAAGTGATATGTACTGGTGATAAAGATTATGATGGAGACCAAAATGTGTCAGCTCAGTTTGTAAATATAATGTATCACTTCCTGAATTAGGAACAATTTAAAGTACTATGATTTCTGGAAATCCCATGCATTTTTTTTAGTGTAACAATGTTCCAGATTTCAGGTTCCGGAAACTAAGTTGTACATATTGTAATTAGAGTGTAATGAAAATGTGTTGCATACATTTAGACTTGTGTTAAATTCTGACATTTTCAAGACAATTATTTAGTAAATGCTTACTTGCATCCTGGTGTATATTACAAGTATCCCACTCTTAACTGTGTTCACTGCAAGTAACTATTGCGTGTGTGCATACACACACATCTGAGCTCCTCTGTGCACACACATCTCTGGTTGAAGCAAAAGTCAAAGCATTGCCCACACTGAAGTGAATGGAGATGTTGCTTTCATATGTATGCCCCTTTGGTTGTGTGGCTGATTCTTTCATGGCAGTGGATGGGGAAGCCTGCTTGTTCTGGAGCTCTGTGTGCTGTTAGGCTCCAGAACAATGTTGGGATGTCTAAGTGGAACTTCAGTCTGTACAAAGGCTGCTTTGTGGCCACTTGCAAGCTCTCACTTGCGCTAGTAGGAATTTTCTTCAAGCAAATGAGGAGAGAAACATAACCAATGTTTTTCTCTGTGGGCCACAGGTTAGTTAGGGGGGAACTATTTGCTATACTGATTGTATTGGGTGACAGACCTCCTCTCTTGATTTCTTACTTGAAAGTCGGTGTATGTGACTAGATTGGATAAAGACTAGTGTGCTCCAGGAAGGGAGGATTAACCCATCCCCCACTACCCGTTTGCCTCCTGAAACCCACCTCTCACTGTGCAGGGGTTTTAAAAGAGAAAAAGGTTTAACTTGGCGTCCTGCACTGAGCAGGAGGTTGGATCCAATGGCCATCTGGCCACCTCCAACTCTGCTATTCTATGATTCTATGAAGTGTCTATTTTATGTAGGTTTCATGAAGCAGTTGCCTGGGGAGGAATGGTTTGATCCTCCCCTTCTGTTGCATGCTGGTCCGCATCCCAGTTGGGGCTGTGCACTTACTCTCAAGAAAGTAAGAGGGTTGTTTTTTATGCCACGTGCTATGCAATTAAATTAACTAGTGTGGTTTTATCGTTACATAGGTATGTTGGTGTGGGCAGGCCAATGGTGTGTTTGTGGACTGGTGGACTTGCAAGGTTGACTTCAGACTACATCTTAGGTTAATAGTATAGCTGTAAATGTAATTGCCAATAACAAATAATCAAGAGTGCTAATTTAAAGGCAAGGTGTGCATATTTGTATAAACTTACAACCCTGGTGGGTTTTAAGTTCTCTTTTGTGTGCTGTACTCCAAAGTTGTCTTCTGGAATGCTCTTTTATCACCTCCTAGTATGCTCATGAATGCCTAATCTGGGAAGCTTAACTGGGTGGTTTTCAAATTCTGGGAGTGGGCCCTCATTGGTGTACAAAATTCCAGGGAGGGATATGATCCTGAAGCTGTCAGAGCATCCCTTCTTGTACCTGCCAAGACATCAAAATTGAATTTCTTGCAAAATTGGACCCTTCTGGTCCACATTGGATTTGTGGGATAAGTTCTCCTCCCCTGCCCCATCACTTCAACCTGACCAAGGGAAAAGAGCTGGTGCTTTGCTGGAATGATTTAGTTTGCTCGAATAGTTTTAGAAGGGTACCATTTTGGTTCTCTTGGTCTGTCCCTTTCCTAATGCCACTGTTGGGTAAGTATTCCTATCCGTCATTTCCTTGGTGCAAAAATAAGACATGTGCGGATGTACTTGAGCATTTCTAATTCTCTGCTCTGGAAGATACTTCTTTGATGAATTAAGTGTAACTATAAGGCAGGGTATGTTCAGAAAGTTTAAGAAACACTGGGTGGACTGGAATGTGCCTGTGATGCGCATGGCACTTCCCCATCTTTCCTAACTCCTTTGGTGTACAGCATTGAACACTTGAAGATTAAAATGGTGTTTAATATCTGATTGAGACAAAGCTTCCTTGAAGTTGAGTTCCTTGAAGTAAAAAGTGGGAGAATGACAGAATGAGTAAATCATGCCCCTTGATAGGGAGGTTGTGTGTGTGAACATCAATGAAGTTTACCTATGATTTGGTTGTCCCAAGTGACCCATCTAGAGCACTGCGAATAAGATGGTGGAGTTTCTCTATTTATGTGCATAAATGCTTGAATGGTTGCGGGTGACATTTGAGTTGTGTCTCTTTTGAGGTTAAAACGATGGAGCTGCCCCAAGACTAAGTTAACGAAGTATTTAGTAAGACTGAACGCAGAACTAGAACCTTACTTGGAACTGCTGCACTGCGTCCCTTTCCTCTTCATTCTGTGAGATGTCTTTTTGAGCTGTGATGTCTCTCTCTGTCCCACTTCCATTGATGCTATTGGTTTATCTGTTTTGATATCACAAAGGACCTGAAGTGTGTTGCTTTAGACCACTAAGTGCCAAGGGAGGATCTGGTGGACCTTAACAATGGAATATTGAAGTCCATGAGGAATTTTTGCTGAATTGAATAAATATTGCCTAGATGCCATAGGCTTGGGAATGAATGCCATTTTGGGTGGAAAGGCAGAATATATATTTAATAAAGAAAATGACACCTTATGAATGCAAATCCATGTGGTAGTTCTGAAGTTTTTGGGTGGAAACAGATGATAACCCTTCCACTTTTATGATATATGGTAATACCATTTTGCTTTTCAATAAGTGGTACATTTAACAGACTTTTCCGAGTTGTCAGGGAAGCCTTCTGATGTGTTGCAATGCTATGGCTGGTATAATCAGATTGAGAAGCGTTATGCTATTAGTTCTTTGTTTTTGAACACCTCCTCCTGCCCCCCAGTCTCCCTCTCCCTCTTCCGTGTACTGGTCAGGGAAATGAAACCAAATTTGAGGATATGTATTTTTTAATTTTTCACCCAAATAAGCTATCTGCTAGTTTAAAGGCATGGAAGCCATAAAATAAAATAAAATTGTGAATTTGCAAACTTTTTCATTTTGTTAACTTGAATTTCCATTCTGATGTGCCTGATATCCATGGTTGAATTTTCTAGTGTGTACATTGGAGCTCTGCTGAAGAACACTCTCACTTCTTGTGGCTATACTGCTGTGGTACACAGTCTTGCGCCATCTTTCTTAACTGAATTTGGGATAACTTTGGAGCAGCTATTGTTGTCCTTGGATACAGTCACACTCTTCTTAGTAATTTTATTTGAAGCTTCCAGTTAAGTATGAGCCTCCTCAGCATCACATCCTTCTTTCCTTACATTATCTCTCCTTGTAATGTTCTGAGATTTTGAGCTCAGTGTGTGACAAACTGGGGAAGGTTGATTAGAGATCTTGCTTTGAAGGATGGATGTGAATGGCTCTAGTGAATGCTTTGCAAAATCTCTTCCTTGTGCAATTTGGAGGAGGGGCAAAGGGGAAATAATCAGATCCTCCTTCCTGCACCTTTAAAATTTCATGGACCGTTAATGTAGTTTTTGCTAAAATAACCAAAGCCAACTGAAACTTTATGCTAATGTTTACCAGTGTGGTTGCGGGTACTTTGGTGGTGGTGGTGGTCATCTGTTTAACATTCTCAGGAACAGTCTACTTGCTCTAATTTCTGTCTTGCTGTTTTTCATTTCTTGTGTCATTGCAGCCTTCTACTTTGCATGTTGCAGCCACTGGTCCTCTTGTCGCCAATTCATAATGCCTAGCCTCAACTGAACATTTTTTCTTGTTTCCTTAGATTTCTGTTCTGACCACATGGTATGTTTGTCATGCCGAATCAGAGCAAAGTCCACCTAGCCCAGGCCAGCTTGCTGGTCCTACAGTGGCCATCTAGCTGCCCGTAAAAAGCCCACAAGCAGGGCAAAAGCATAACAGCACCCTGCAGCCCATGTTCCCCAATATCTGGTATGCAGAGGTGTATTGCCTTTGATACTGGAAGTAATATACAGCCATCATAACTACTTGTTACTGGTAATCTTAGCTTCTGAGGCACACACCTTTTAAGGTGCAATCCCAGGCATATTTAGACAGAAAAAACTTCTACAGCTCCAGCATGCTTCATCCACCCATGCTGCATTGCAGGACATTTTGCTTTCTAAACATGCATAGGTTTGCATCCTTAAGCAGACTGAAAATGTAGATATGTGACCCAGATCTAAAGAACCATCCAGTTGGTTCCATTTGCTGAATGCTTGCTGGAACATGGAGTTATGCTTCTCAGAGAGTAGGCCCTCTGTACCATCAAAGGTATATTCATGATTAGATTTTCTTCTAAGAAAATTTGCTTTGTTTCATAAGTCATAAAGTGCTCCTGGGTAGTAATTGCATATGCAGTGTGACAGGGAAGGAGTGGGGACCTGTCCAGTGGTCCCTAACGTGGTTTCTTTCATAAGAAAAGTAGTGTAAAGCTCTTCAGTGTGTCCACCACCCTCTATCCATCGCTAGACCTTTTCTTCTGCAATGTTTCTAGCTGTGGAAATGGATGTTTGACTTCAAATGTATCTGATTCGCTATTCCTGAGGTGTTTCAATTTTCTGTCTGTCATGCAATACGCATTCTTTCTCTTTTTCATTCTCTCACAAATATATTTTCTTTTGCTGACATTCACATTATTCATATGGGTGTATGTATAGTGCAGCTATACATAATCAGTATTGTTAAACCCTTTCTATTTTGTTAAGTCTGAAATCAAGGATACAAGGAGTTCCATTCAACTAACAGGGCTCTACCGGGAAAGTTTTGCTTCTGTTGTGCCTCTCCAGTTATTTCTTATATATGTCTGCTCCACCATCTTGAGTAATGATTGTGTATTATTTCAGATGAACTGCTGATGATCCCGAATAAAGTATTTGCCTTGAGACAGATTTTATTTTATAATTCCATGCAATATTTGTACAGACTGTATCTCATGAAAAAGCTAGAACCTTTATTCAGAGAAAAAAGTTTTAAAAATCAAGAATCTTCTTTCCTCTGCTGTTTCAATATGAGTTGAGAATTGAAGTGCTTTTCATAAAGCTGTACAACATAGCCATGGGATAGGTTGGCGTGTATTTAATTGGACATTTAGTCCAGCTTATCCTCTGCTGTAAGTTGCACAAAGAACATGAATGAAAAGCATTTGAAAAGACTGCGTGACTGCAGCAGAGTTTGCCCTGTTGTGGCCACAAATTACTTTGCAACGTTTGATTCCACTACTCTATAGCTTCCAGCTATGTTATGGCCACATTTTATGACATTTTGATGTGAGCAAAGATAATTTGCCAAGTGGTAACTGTGATCACACTGTGTTCGAGGCCACTTTGTGGGGGCCTAATCTTGATTGGCCATGCAATATTTTGATGGTTCGTTTATTTTAAAGAATTCTACCCATTGCATCACCAACTATTGAATTCAAGGCAGCTTGCAAAAGTTGGTAATAATAAGTGACCAAAATAAGCAGTACATCGAATAGGCTTCCTTTGCACATACCTGCATCCAAGTGGGGAGAATTAGCAGGACAGAAGAAGACAGTGATCTAGTTTACACATAATGCTAATTCAGGGTTTTTTACCATTCTTGCCTGCCATCTCAGTAGCTAGAAGGGACTCTTAACCAAACTGCATTTGTTTCAACAGTCAAGGAAGGATTATTTTCCACCCTGTGCATGCTAGTTGCATGCTACCAAATTGCCACGATGGTGCTTGCGCAATGTGGTTTGTCATGTCAGAACCTCTCCCCATTCACCTGCCAGTCTTTGCTGGCTTCAGACAATATGACAATCCATGCCTGGAAAAGATAATTACATTAATTTGATGGTGTCCAACAGGTATGTGAGGGATGGGAAGATAAGCTGCAGTGGCTTTGCCCATTAGGCAAAGCTAGCCATTAATCCATGGTTTAATCATTCACAAGTTCATAACCCTGCAGTAAACCATAGATTCTGTTTCTGGGTTGTGGTTAACTACGGTTGTTAAGGCAGCTATATTCACACATGCTTACTAGGTTCAAATTAGTGACCACAGCAATTCTGCATGTCTCTATAGATGGGTAGGCAGTCTTGCAGATGTTTTGGTCTTCAGCTTTCAAACTTGTCATGCTGGATTTGGGGACTTCTGGGCCTTGGAAATCTCAAAATTTCCTGCACATCCCTGCTTTAAAATACTTGGTACACAGATATACACCAAACACTCTGGGAGAGGCTAACTTTTTATTATGCACTGTTATGCAACAGAACAAACGGATGTGGAGGCATGTTGTAATAAAACCCAATTATTTAAATAAGAGGTAACACCTGAAATAGTAAACTCTAGTAACAAAGGTTTTTTTATAATCAAAAAATATCACTGTCTTAAAAAACTTGTCTAAACTTTATATGTTTACTTCCTTAAAAGAAAGGTGTCTTGATGTCACATAGAAAACAAGTCACATATTCTATAGAAATTTTCAACATACTAGCCTATATTACACTATTCACTTTGTACAGAATCAGGTATTTGTCTATCCCTAAGCATTTATTTTACTCTACACAGGACAAATTGTTAACAGAATTAACTTACACTATAACAATAAGAAATATTAGGCGGAATGGGTCCCTTGGTCACAGTATCTCCACCAGTGTTTTGTCATAGAAAATACAGCAAAGGCAGGTTGGCACCGGTGTGTGTGCAGTAGCAAGACACACTTTGAAAAGGTTGCTGCAGAAATGGGAGGAAGTTTCAACAACCAGAGAGAGGGTAAGGCAATGATACATTTCCCCGAAGGGCACTGCAACTGCTAAAATCCGTCTTCTCATTTAACTACTGTACACTGTGGCTTCTACCGCACATTAGGGTTAGCATATCAGTCAAATGCACTGGGGGGAGATGGTATCTACGGTCTGGGTGGAGGTACCTTGAGTCAAAACAAAACAAAAGAAAAGTCAGTTCATGACAGACTTTAATAGTGAGGTTTTACTGGGACAGCCCAAACAAGATGTGGCACCCAAAGTCAAAGGCAAATCCTGGCCTAATTGAGGTAATTCTGCCACTGATGACATTTAAACACAGAAAAGTAAGTTAGAGCTTCCCATCCTAAGGTGCTTGTTCCTTGTAGTGCCATTCAACAAAGTCACACAAACAGTGGATGAATGGTGAAAACTGATGCTGGGCTGTACCATTTCAGACTGCAGGGGGAGAATGATGTATGGCTTCTGTCATACTGGAAATGACCTGCACATAGCAAAAGTCCTAAATGTCAGGAAGAAGGGTTCTTATCTAGCGCTCTTCCCACAGTGCATACATTGCTGTTTAGTGGTACAGTCCCACCCACATTCTCGAGTGTTACAGTCCAGCAACAATGTTATTGCTTCACCTGCCCTCTTTTTTATTAAACCTGATTCACACATACTTGTAAATAGCCACTCTGTCTCCAAGCAGCAACTGTTTTGGGGGCAAACATATTGACAAGAGACCGGATGAGTTAAAATGAAAGAGAGTAAAGGTTTAGCAGACATATTTGCAATGCTGCCTTAAGAATGCAATCCTATCCATGTGTACCCAAAAGTTATTCCCACACAGTTCACTGGGACTTACTCCCAAGTAAGGGTAGAATTGCAGCCTGAGTAACCCCATTTAATGATACATAAATGTGGCAGTGGTCAGTGAAGGATCAGCTCCAGTGATCCTATTACGTCTGGGCCTTAGGTTCCTTATTCCACAGAGGCCAAAGGATCATGTTCTCAATTTAAGGCCTTTCAGATTTTGAGTGAGAACATATTCCTTGGCTAGAATAAGGAGATAATAGAGGTTTCTATATCAAATAAGCTGTTCCAGTTTCAAATCACACTGAAGGAAAAGCCCAGTTCATGGCATCCAAAATAAGGGCCCCTTCTCATGCTACCTAAAGAGCGTGGAAGCTGCTGAATGGTCATATCCTGTTCCCCTTGGACACCATAAGATCTAGATTCCCTGGGGGAAACCAGCCCAGTGCTGTGCTATGTCCCCAATTTCATGGAAGGGACAGGAAGGAGCTGCATTGTGCAAATGCCATTCCGTGGCCAACTTCTTCCGATATAGCTGAGGTGGTGTTGGAAGAGCAGAAGGGTTCCCTCGAGTCAATGTGGGAAGCGCTTCAATGGGTCTAGCTTCATCCACACCAATTACACCCATTAAGAGACTCCACTTGACGCAGTTAAATTAAGTGGGCTCTTTCCATGCCATTGTTCCATAGGATAATAGACAATGGTGTCATTCTGCCAAGTCATAGCATTACTGCAGCTCCACCAAATCTTCCCAGTGCACAAGCGGTTATGTATTTTGCCTGTCCAACAGGTCTCACAGTGGGTTGCACAAGCACCATGCACAACTGCTCCTTCACGAGGATACACGTAATTTGGGACCTGGTTTCTGCTAGCACAATGTCATTTGTGCCAGTGGAATGGCACAGCTGGATCCTCTCCACAGCCTCAAGGAAGGCCAAGCCTACTGTAGGTCAGACCCATCCCCTCGAGTTGAGCCATGTGGTTCCTCTCTATAGATGTGACCATGAGGCCAGAGCTCATGCAAGCAACTTCTGTGCTGCCCTTTCTAACACAGGAATGGGGCCAGGAGAAACATCTGAAGACAACCTTCCCGTTAAAACAGAGCTAGGCTTACCCATTGCCTTAGCAAATCCCAAAAGGTATTGCTTTAGTGAGGTCTGTTATGTGAACCTTGATATGCATAATTCGAATGAAACATTTCTACTTTTAACTTTGCACACAAACATTGGATTTCACACTGCTTATTCAAAAATACACCACAATGAGATTATACTGTGGACAAATGTGGACTCATGCATTCTATCTGACAAATTTTACCAAGTAGATGGACAATTGTCACCACAGGAAACATACACCAGCAAGGCCTGCACCAGCTTAGCAATGTGCTAGCCGATGTGTTAGTTAAACACAACACTGAACAGCTAGAACAGAAACGCTGTAATTTTTGAATGATGGTTGCATTTATCTTCCCAACGGGCCTTCTTGTGGCAATGACAATGCCCTGCCAATTACAATGGATGGCACTGATCGACTCAGGCTGTATTGTTAAGATTTGCTCTGAGCAAAAAAATTAATCCAGCTGAAGTTAAGCCCCTTTAATCCCTATCGGTTTAAATGGAAAGTGGCTGAGAATGTGCTGGAGTGGGGCTTGAGGCTGTAAATCCCATTCCCACTTACCTAAGAGAAATGCCCACTGAGCACTGGGAGGTTTACTTCGGAGAATGCACAGGAGGGCACTGGAAAAGTGCTTAGCATTGGCTGTATTGGGCCATACCTTAAAATGAATTGGAATACATATGATTTCAGGAGAAACTGGGTATTTGATTACGTATTGCCTACAGCCTGAAAACAGTCCCATTTACAGCAATGTCGGCCACAGGTTCATTCACACATCCAGTGGCAGGGCAGGCATACTACCTTCACATGCAAGACTTCCCAGGTGTGGCCTGGGGAGGCCAATTTGCATGGTTTAGTCACATCCCATCCTATTTCCTCCCAGATGGGATAGGAACCCCATTCAATTAGCCCTGCTCACACTTTGCTGTATACACACATATCCCAGTGACTTAGGAACATTCCTTCACAAAGGATACAGGGGCCTCCCGGCTTGCACTGAGCACAAACCTGCTTGGCAGGAATTCCCCAACATAACTTGGTAACTTTCATTCCACAGGAGCCGTTCAACAAAAGACACAGGTGCTCTACCCTGCTGAGGTTACAGTTGATCTCTGGAGCCTTTGCCACCTCTTGGCATGGTTCATGCAAGACCCTATACAGGTAAAGCAGCAGTAAACAACTTGATGTTTAAGGTTTGCACTGCAACTCTCATACGCTCCAACCAGCATGGCCAATGATCAGGGATTAAGAGAGTTGTAGGCCAAAACATTCACAGAGATCACCAAATTACCTCCTTTGGGGTCAAGTCATTGGAGGAACATAGATCAATACCTACCTGCCCAAGCCTCTAAGTCAGTCTAGCCTGTCTTGGGGCCTGGCCGGACATTATACTGGAACTGGGCAGGGACATGGCAGTCTCAAAATCACTGACTTCCTACTGCTGGCAGGGGCCATGTGTAGGTGCAAGCCATACAATGATGGTTTAGGTCTACCTTTGCCTTGTTCTGGCATTAAAGCCTCTCAGTACATGGCTGCGAGGAGGACCAGAAATGGGAGCACTGTGCCTAGGGCATGGACACAGTCCTGATCTCCAGCATGCACGTGATCCAACTGGGGATCCTGAGAATGCATTTTGTTTGCTTTTTTAAGGAGGGAGCTGGTCGCTTGCCCTGAGAAAGGGTGGCACGGATACAACTGACCATTCAAACAGGCCACCGGCAGCTCCAGAACAGCCAATCTGGTATCTACACTGGAGGTGGAAGACTTGGTCTCTGTGACAGGAGCTTGAATCCAAAGGAGGGGCTTTCCTAGTCTCTCTTTCCTACTGTAGGCCCTGATGCCCACCCAAAGGAGTCACCTGAAGCTTAGGAGACCGTCCGGGATAGCATGGGTTTTGGCATGGGAACCAGTGGCCAAGGGGATGACGGCAGGACATCTTCCACCCTCTCCGTTGCTCTTCTGAACACGGAGGAGGTTACAAGAGAGCCCTTGGCTTGGATCCTGATTCATCCTACTGAGTCAGCAATCCTCCTTCAGTGGAAAAGCTTAACTAATCAAACCAATTGTCGAAGTTGCATGCCTGAGAGACAGAAGAAGAGTGTTCCTGAAATGGTAATAGTGAATAAAACAAGAAGTATGGCCCAAGCAAAAACAAGACTATGGATCTTTGAAGCAATGCAGAAAGCTTGCAGAGTAGCAAGTTCTTTCTTAGAACTGTGCTTTGATTTCCTAATCCATTGGTAATGCAAAAACAGTACAGAGCAGTACTACTCTTTTAGGTGACCAAAAACAAATGCAGTATAAACTAAAGACAGGAAACTTCCAAAGCAAAACAAAAAAGTGTAAGATCTCTCCCTGATTTTGATACCTTGCAGTTTCAATAAAATGGAATGTATACACATTCCAACTTCATTGTGAAGGACAACCTATTTTGTTCCATCCTAAAATTGCACAATAACGCAGAATAATGCGGGAAGTGTGCAGATGGGTGAAAAACAATTCCGATTTGGCCATTCCTGTGAAGATACAGATATTTCTATATAAGGAGAGGGCAAAGCCCTAAGAAGACATTTGTTTGTGTGTAGAGCTAAATTTGTAGGGCCATGTGAGAAGGCACAGAAGCCTTGCCCCAACATCCCTGCATCTCCAGCTTCCATTGTATACCTTTGTGCATTGCGGAAGAACTGTGCAGGTCTCCACAAGCACATTCTGCTGAACATGCTCATAGAGTTCCTTGAGCAGAAGTGCTGATAAGGCAGGGTTCACGCTCATGAGATCTGCACAGGCCTCTGTGTGGAAGTTCAGAGACTTAAGCGCATGGCCCATGTCTCCTTGCATGGCTCAGCCCTTCACGTAAGCAGGTGAACACCCAAGTAAAGTCAATGAGATGTTCATATGTGAAACTAGTTCTCACATTTGTGCCTATTTCTCCTAAGGAGCTTGTGAGAAGGTAAACCTGTATTTGGCTTTGTATCCTTTAAGATCTCAGGTGGAAGCTCACATAAGAGAAAATGCAAAAGGTGGGAAGTAGAAAGGAAGCAAATAAATCTTTTACATAAATGAGACTAATGCTGAAGGTAAAAGGGTCCCAGCCAGGCATGTTCCCCTGACAAACCAATTTTGAAGGGGTAGTGATTTTGCTTGTTCTTGTGTGGAAGAGTCCTCCATCCCCCATCTAGAGTCTAAAGTGCTACTGCCCAATACAGGTTTATGTCCTGACATTCGGTTTGTGTGGACTAGGCATTAAATACTATGGACTTTCATCAGTAGGCCTTGGATGAAACAGGGCTCAGAACATGCTTTGGATACTTAAGTCACATTAAAACAGTACACTGAACACACAGTCTCTGGCATCTGCCTCAGACACGTCTGTGTGGATTTCCACCACTCGCTCCTCAGTCTCCAGTCCCATCATGGACACCCCTACTGAAAAGATCATCTTGTGAGCTGTGCTGGTCAATCCCTTCATAGTACGAGTTCCCGTTATGAAGGAACGTCCCCACCGCACGCCCTTGCCGAGCATGTCCCACGGCATCGCTGAACACCTTGTTGATCTGTTCTTCAGAAGGCATCCACCAATCTGGGTTGGACGTGCAGTGCATCCTAATGAATTCTGAGAGGAAAATGTGACGTTAGGCCATCTGCCTCACTGGCATGCAATGTCATTAGTTCTTGCTAGCTGGGCTGGTACCTTTAGCTACACAGCCGAGATAGTGCCCCATTTCCAGGGATGCATCCTTGGAGACCTCCTTGGATGTTGAACCTCATCTAGCCTGACAGCTGAATTCCTTTTCAGAGAATCTTGGGGGCTGCATTCCACTTGTGGGAGGAGCCAAAGATAAAAGGGGCAGGGACAGAAAACCCACTGTTTCAGTTGAAGGCTCCTCTCACAGTAACTGAACTATAGCAGAGAAACTTCAACCCTTTCGAATGGGAGTAAAATGGTGCACAAGTCAGGAAACCACCAAATCGTTGTTGGATAGAGAAAAGGACTTTGGAAGTGGGCATGTCCATCTGGGAAAATGAGCAGGCAAGATCTGGCCCCTGTTCTGAGCTTTTGCATCCCTGTCATAGGTAATGGAATGGCAGTCAGATGAAAAGCTGCTAGAATACATTTGCTTTACCCATGCAATAAACAGCTATGGAACATCATCACTTAGGAAGTTACCCTCCCTCCAGCTTCTATTATGGGAATGCAATATATTATGAAAATTAAAATAATTTGTAGAAGGATGGTTGCACCACAAGTTTTTCCTCTTTGGTTAGTAATCAGGTTATGAGAAAAGAGTGATGGGATGCAGGGAGAGCCAGCATACGGGCAGGTGTACATGGAGGAAGAAGAGTGTGAAAATGTACGCACTGGAGATACACTGCTGTTCTCTGACTGGGACTTTGCTTATCTACATTGATAACTAACTAAATAAAATTCTGCACCAAAAAGTGGCCAGTTTAGTTTGCAAAATTAATGCAGGTAGAAGAACCTGGGATAGCTTCCTGTTTCTGTGACTGCTTTTGCATACTTCGTTCCCTGTTTCATGCTGTTGTGCACACTTTTTGTTGATTCCGCTGGGCACTGCAAGAGCGCCATGGAGCTGTGTAGGGCGTGAAAGGCTTCTCTCAGGCCTGAAACTGGCTTTGGAGGATCAGCAGGCACAGCCCAGCTGTTTCCAAGCACAGTTTTGCAATCACAAAGGGCTAGGCACTTCCTTTTGCTTTTCTAAAAGTCAGAGTCTGCTTCTATTCCCTATATTCTGTGCTTTTCTCCTGTTCCTGTGGAATTGCAGCGTATGGCGATCTCTGTACCCTTGCCAGCAGACGTGCCAATGGGACTGAAGAACCCACTTGTGTCTTTTCAGTTTCATCAGCCTAATGAGGATGCTTCCAAGCATAATTTTCTTTTAATGGAAACGTCTTAGAATTCTAAAGAAACTGAAGAACTCAAGAAGTGGGATGATTTCACGATCTCGCCACACTGCAGTAAGTGCTTCTCTACAAGAAGCTTTTAATCTGGTGCTTCACCCAGGATGTGAGAGGAAGAGGTCCTTCTACAAGGGGGATTTCTCATCAGAGCTTTTCCTCTCTGCCTTTTTAGATGTTTCTGTACCTTTCATTACATGCAACAGAGGGGGATGTTGCTGTCACATTGAGTTTAGACTTCAGAGTAGGCTTTTGTGACATGTGATGGTGCCAGCCATCAAATTACTGCATTTTCCTTGTTCCAAAGCCCACACCTTACTGCAAAAATAGTGGGAACATACAGGAGAGGGCCTGGGAAGATGAGGCCAGCATGTAAAGGACCTGTAAACTTTCAAGAGGGAGGAGCTATGAGTGCACAGTGTATGCCCCATGTGGAAATGCCCTAACTAGGCCCAGTCTGCCAGTGAAAAGGTCTTGCTTAAAAGCTCATCCACACCTTCAAGATTCCAATGGCATCATAAAATCCTCTAGGGGTTTGTGCATTAGGTACCTAAGGAATTTTCCAGGAACAAAAGTCATTTGATGCCTAAAGGACCATCTTGATGCCTGGGTTCAGACAACAGGATAACCCATGTTCAAGGGTTGAGTGTGGACTGTTGCTGAACTGTGGTTTATCATGTTGTCTGAACCCAGGGGTGCCAATGTGGTAAGCAATCCACAGTTCACAACCCAGAAATGAACCACAGGTTTTTTTCATGGTTTGTTTGTGGTTACCAAGCCATGGCTGTCCAAAAACCCATAGTCAGACAGCCACCCATATTCCTTGCATGTAGGTTATCATGGGTTTTGAGGCAACCTTTCAAATTTATCCAGAGACCCTGTTCATCCAGTGAGCCTTTTATCTAGATATCCAGCAAGGTACATATGGTTTTCTATTGCCAGGCATCTCAGCCTATTGGCAGCTTGCTATTTTGAGGGGATGATAGATTGAGGCCCCCTATCCACCCCAAAGAAAAAGCTGCAATGTGAACAAAAATGCACCGTGTAATGAGAAAGGGACACACTGAATGCACATCACATTATGGATACTGGTCATCATCCAGTCTGCACATCTTTTTCCAATCAAGGGAGGGATTGGCCTTGACCAAAACCTGATACTGCGCCTTATGTGGCAGAGACAGGGGTAGGTACATGAGAGAATGAGAGAGGGACTAAGTTTGATATTGTGCATCAGTTTCAACAGAACTTAAAATCTGAAATTAAAAGGCATTTAACTGAACTTGAATTCAAATCTTGGACCCTTTAGTTTCAAATGAACTTTGGACGGTTTGCATCCAACAGGGGGACTGAAAGCTCGGTACTATACAGATAGATTTCTCTAAGCACCAGGAAACATGCTGGTGCTTCCTTTCTTGATAATTTTCAGGGTTTTTTAGTGTAGCAGGACATCGGTCTGTATGGTTTGTGCCTCCCCAAGCTGAATGCAGCCAGTGGGGGCAGAGGCTGGACAGCCTCCCCTACTCCCGCCCCCTGTATTTAAAATCTCAAGCATAGGATTTATCAAGGCCAAATTAGGCCACATTTGGTTGGGCCTAAATACAAGTTATTTTAAGCCTTCAGAAGTCACACAAATGGTAACCAACCCATGCCACATTTTTAACAAGCTCAACAACAAAGCAGTGTTCACTGTGTCGAATACCCTCAGAAAACAAAACGAGGATAGGAACAAAACCAATGACCTATTCAATGTTGATGAGACTTGAATGCACAGTTTACACTCAGAAGGTTTAACACCTGCGTGTTATATTTGATTTGGCCACTAAATAAGCCCAGTTGCCAGGGGCCTCTGAATGGTGACTTTTTAATAATTGCCTCAACCCAGCAAGGCATATGGCTGCAAGCTAACCTTCCATGGGTACATGCAAATATGCACCTGCCTCGCAGCTGGGCCCCACTGAGCTAATCAGATGCAAGTGTTGGCACATCCCATTTGAGAGCCCGGATTTTTGTGGATCCTGGGCAGGATGCCCTGCTGCCCCACCCCAGGCCTGGGTTCCCCCCTGGCTGCACCGCCAGAGCTGCCCACCTTGGCCTCCCTCTCACACGTAAGCAGGCCTACACAAGCTGTGCCGTGTGTTGCTCCAGCTCACTGCAGCCACTGCTTTTGCGTAGTGTGAGAGAGAGGATGGGAAGGGTGAGCAAAGCATCTGCCCCCGCAGACTCAACTGTGCTGGAAATGCTCCAGGATGCTCAGGGCTGACCTGGGCCTGCCACAGGGATGAGCTGTGGTTCTGCCTGCAGGCCCCTTGAGCTGGAATGGGGCCAGTCTCTGCTTTATTCTCTTTTCCCCCTGCCTCTGCATTTCTCCTTTCCCTGAGCAGTATACAGGTCAGGCAGCATATTTAATTTTCATCTGAAAATATTTGCTATTTTATATAACTTTAGCATGCCACCTCTTGCAACTTCTAGAAAATACAGGCAAAGCAAAATGGAATAGTCACACTGCAAGGTTAGAAAGGCACCCCTCGCATTTAGAAGGTACAAAAGAAGTGTTCCAATCCAGCATGGGATGAACGTGGCTAATGCCGATATGCCAACCTGTCTTGGTGTTATGCTGTTTATTTGTGCCCCACTAGTCTCAGATCCAGATGTGACTGACTAGTTGTGTGCTACTGGAACTGGATTGGGCCTGTACAATTCAATATGTTTTGCTTATTATTTCTTTCAATAAATTACCAATAATTTCCTTATGAAAGATAGGTTTCAGAAAAAATTTTGAACCTTATTTCCTTTAAACAAAGCATCTCATTTAAGCTATTTCACACTTTTGAAATCTAGATGGCTATTTCCAACTGCCTAGATGAAACCTGTGAAGGGGAGAGAAGAAGGCTGGGGTACCATCAGGACATGGTTCAAGCAGTCAGGCCCAGCTCTGTCCCTTCACTGCCCCAACCTTTCCTCTCCCCTGGAGCCAATCTGCCACCTCAGTGAGGAGGTCGGGGCAATTTTTCCCAGGGTGGAAGCTCATCCACTGGAGTCACAGGTTCTCAGAGCTGACTTGAATAATCCTATGCCATCCTCAATGATGTCAGGAAGTCAGACACTCTAACCTACGGTTCCATGCCTATTCTCATTGACCCATGAATAAATTCCATTGGACTCAATGGAGTTTACTTCTGAGAAGAAGTGCACCAGCTTGCTCTTCGCGCATGCGTGCGTGTGTTTTAATCAATGTGGCTTGGGTGTAAGAGCACTCCATGGAGGCTATTTTAATCAGAAATTCTGCTATGATGAATGAAAAAATAACATGTCAAACATGGCCCTCTCATTTAACAATGAAACACTTACATTTATTACATTGTAAATTATGAAGGAAGTGCTAACTATGGATAGCAACTATGTCGAGGTTTTGATGATAAACATGCTTGCTTAAAAGGCAATTATCTCTGTAGCAAGCAAACTTTTCCTCTTTCAGACATTTTATTCCACCAACTTGTCCCGTGAAGAGTGCCTCAGCTGGCTGCGAAAGATTGTGGGGAAGCTCTATGGCAAATGCTCTGGTGAGGGCCAGCAACAGTGGTGTAGGCTTCATAGAGCCCACCTCCAAGAGCTGGGAAGTGCAGGGGAGGATGGGTCATGGTGCCAGGCAAAGCCGCTTCCAGAGCCATTTCCCCACTATTGCTAATTTTCTCACCGAGAAGCCTCAACGCTCCTGAGAGTACAGTTTGTCAATTCATTAAAAGGCAGGTAATTTAATTTGCAGCTCCTTCATCTGTCTAAGCCCCAAGGCCTCTCATGTTTGCAAGCATCCCCCTTTCCCTCTCGCTTACAGGGAGCTAGCTGCTTTTGCATTAAGCCAGAGCCGATGTGGTGAAATGAGATTGCATATGGTGGACACCGAGTGAAAAGATGCAGTACCTCTGAGACATGTTACTTTTACTGGATCCAGAGGACGTCTTTCAGGACCAGTGTCTCCTGACTGCACTGACCTTTTCCTTTTTCCAAGGCCGCACGAGTACTTAAGCTCATCGGTTGTGAAGACGAATCGAATGAGGTAGCGAAGGAGCCGCCGCCCATCTTTCTTTGAGGAGTTTACAGCCTCGTCCCACTGTTTGCTAGTGATGTACACGGGGTAGTTGTTCAGCAACTGCTTGCTCCCCTGGAGAAAGAAGCAGAGCGGTTTCTCGGAAGGCTAATTAAATGGACAGAGTCAAATAAGAACTGGGCAGCTGTGAAATGCTGACAATGAGAACACATTGCCGGGAACAAGGGATTGCTCATCCCGACAATGCGCATTAAGAAGGAAAAAATAAAAAAAGAACGGAAAATTGCATTTGCATTTTTTATAACAAGAACCAGTGAGGTATAATGAACACCTTGAGAGAGCAAAAAGCTATTTATAACGTGCTTTCACAGGTAGGTTAAAAAGTGTCAAGATCCAGTGATTGGGAAAGCTATTTAAATATAATCTTCTCTCTTAATCTATTAAAATGTGTAAAAATGTTTTTTGAAGAGCATGATCAAACAGGCCTTTTCATGGCAGCTGACAGAAAGCTACTTCAGAAGTTATTTTTTGAATAAATCTATTTACATAATTAATATATTACCTTTTGTTTAACATTCTTAGAACCTGACAGCAGTTATGTCGCGGGAAAAACTTTAAAGCACATAAGCAAAGTTAAAACTATAAGATGAAAAGCAGCATGACTATTAATGAGCTCTGCCAGAATGCAAACGACAGCTTTGTGCAAACCCTGCCATGTCTGTCAGAGACAACCCTTCCCATGGACTCTCCTGGTTGGAATTACCTTCATTACTCTGCTCTAAATGGGTAAAAAGGGAGCCTAGACTCAGATATTCACTGTGACGTTCATCTTGCATGTCAGTGACTGCAGGCCAAACTGACCGAACGTCTTTAGCGGAACCAGCTACACCAACCAGACTGGAACTGGGCTACCCTTCCAAAAACTGCCATCCAATCACCCACCCACACAAAACATCAATTTGCAGCAAAGAGGATTTCAAGGGGAAAGAGGAGCTGGGGAAAGAGTAAATGGGGTGCTGGTGGTAGGGAAATGATGCTTTTGGCCATTCTGCAGTCCAGATCAAGAGACCGAGTGAGGAGGTTTTCTAATGAATGACAGCAGGGTAATTCTACCCACAATTAACAATGCTTTCAGGGTACTCATTCAGAAAAAAATCTCCCTATGACTCCCTGGTGAACTCTGGAGAAGGCTGGCTGAAGAACTCTGGGAGTTGTAAGATTCTTTTCCCCATCAAAACATGCATGGGATTGCACACTTCACATAATATATTATGTTCGTCTTGTTTTTCCTTGCCACTTCCTTTCCTCTTTTTTAATGGCTACTTGCTTAGATTAACAGCTTCTCAGTGGCAGGGAGCTGTATGGTTTTACTCTGTAAAACCCATGTATAGTGATGGTGCCTGAGAAATTAATAATACAGTCATACAAAAACAGGGATCGCAAAACATTCTGGAGCGTAGGCCATTCATATATAGGTTGTCACACAGCTGGATCTCTCATACAGGAGTAAGAAGTCTCTCTAGTGTTGTGATGCACTGCAACTGCAATCAGACAATTGTTCACTCCCACTACAGGGGGCACAGCAGCGAGGCTCAACTGTTTTAGGGCATGTGCCCTAAAATATGTGCATGTGGTTAAGACCATGGCCCAGAATTCTCAGCTGCAAAGGTGACATCTATGGTGGGTGCTCATGAATTCTCCCACAAACAAATTAAAATTGAGAGTTCCATGAAGAATGAAACACAGGAAAGTCCCTTGTTTAAGAAATTTATATTATACAGATTGTTCATCATGTCTGGCCTTGAATTACAAACAAACTCGGCTTGTTTCACAAGCTTAATGAGGAAATTCCAAAGAAACTCAGATGCTCAGGGATTCAAGGTCACGCTTTGCAGTGAATTGTGCTGTTGTGTAGAAACTGCTCCCTTTTTTCTCTCTCTCTCAGCTCTGGCCTAATTATTGGTGAGAGGCAGTGGACAGTAGAAGCTGAAATCAGTCTTCCTAAATTTAAGTCTCCAGTAAGAGTGTGTTGTGTGTTTGTGTGCACACCAGAAGAGCTGGAAGGGTGTGGTCTGAGGAGTAAGAGGACCAAATCACATCAGTGTGTCTTGGGTGTTAGCTGTACACAACCTTTCACACCTGCTTAACCCATATATTTGCAAAGATGAAACCATCCCCAGTGTTCTGTTCTGAGCAAAACATCTGATCAGATGTGTGTTTGCCCGGAAGCAACTTCCATCAAGTTAAATGGGACACACTCTCTTAGATAAGCAAATTGTGGCTTTATATCATTAAGGCTCTCTGGCCTGTTTCACTGCTTGGAAAAGGGAGTGGGAGTGTAAAATGTCAATGGGTGCTTAATATCTCCCCAAAATGAGCAACCAATTCTTTGCCCTCGAGGTCAGCACAAGATTAGCTTCTCTGCCAGTGAACATGTAAGCTTCTAAATGCAATGTAAAATGCATAACCAAAATGCTTTGGAGGGAGGCTTTGGAGGGAAAAATGTTTCATTTTTCCTATCAGAAAATATTAAAACTGACCTAATTTACAAATGGCACCACTCAAATCACTCCCTGACCCTCGGCATTAACATGCCCTTACCTCAATTATAATTGAATGCATACACAGGGATGGTCTGGATGGACTGACATGGATCTCTGTAAGTGACATGCAATAACCCTTTGCAGAAATATGCTTTATTTGGCACAAACGCTAGGAATGTAGCAAATATTAGAAGAAAAAACATTTTAATCTCTTTACTGGAAAATGCTACCTACAGAGGCAGGCAAAGGCTTGCAAAGCAGAATTAAAAACCTTCTAACAGAACATGAGCGGTGCCTGACATGGAGAGATGTGAAGTAATGTTCAGATGTGCTTCTGTTTTCCTGTGACACAACAGCTTTATTGACACTATAAATGTATAAACTCCTATTAGGATAATGCCTTTATTAAGCCAACTCAAAGGTCAACAAAAATGTGCAAGCTTTTGCCATCTCTAGAGCACTTCATAAGCAAAGACTTAAAACAAAGTGCATGGACTGGGAGGCAAAAGGGAAAAAACATGAAGCTGACTTGATGCAGAGGTCACAGAATCTGCAACCAAGCATTTTTCCCACTCCTCTCCACCTGACCCCACCAACATTTTGTAACTTCTTGACTAATGACAATATTTGCAGATCTCAAAAGCTTCCTCAGTTCTGAGGAACTTTTATTTTTAATGGCCAACATTAGCTTTTCGTGCAAACCTATAGTGATTTTGCATTACTTTAATTGCCATGCCTTCCTCTTAATAATTATGGGAGTGATCACTGAGAGAGAGATATGCTGAGAATATATTTTATTACAGATCCCTGAATGCTCCTCTTCCCTGATGAATTACATGCATTAGGGAAGAGAGAAACGCTGTTAAGCTGGTTTAAATCTGTAGCACGGGTCTGCCTTCAGAAATGTATGGGCCACAATTCACTGCAGCTATGGAAGGAATCTAGTCTAGGCTTTTAGGCAGACCTAAATGCTTACAGCTTACTATGAATTGAATTCGGCATATGACAGAAGCACACAATCAGTTGACCTGAACTGGAAGCAAGTGTGAATTATGTCTGAGACTGAAATAGCAACATGAATCATTCATCCACACATGGACCAGGTGTGTCAGCTCTACACTTTGGGCAAGTTGTTGCCCCCAAGGCATTTTGAAGGGCCTACAATCCCCTCTGGTGGCAAGGCCTGATGGGAACTGCAGGTCAAACATTGCTCACAGATTTAAAGCATTAAAGATTCACTGATACAAGTAAACCTTACTCACAGGTTGCATAGAACCTCTTTACTTTTTGACAAAGCCTAATTGTCAAGCCATTTTCCAATGAAGTGCCCAACGTAAATTAAACAATCTATGCCTGGTGGGAGAGAGGACAGGTATGCTGGAAAATCTGGGCTGGGAATGAATGGACTTCTGTGTCTTATAAATACAATAATATGTTACATCTGAGTAATAAGAGTTTTGTTACAAAATACTACTTTTAAACAAGTAGTAGATATGATAATGCATGTTATGACTACCCATGGGTTATTTTAACCATGGATAACTGTGGATGAAATGGAGTGAGTGGGCACCCATCAGCCCCCTGCTACTGAGCTAAACAACCTAGAACTGTTCCATTTGGACATCGCACTTTGTCCCTTTCCTGGTTTGTTGACTGTGATGTCCAAACCGGGAATTCTGGGTTGTTGGTGAGAACGCAAACCAGAGTTTTAACCAGTGCTTTGTTCTTGAGTTGCAACTTTGGCATGTCTCTTCCCAACAATACAGAATACCTCATTCTAACATCACAATCAATAACCCAGGAAGTTGTTGAGTTCAGCAGAAGCTGTTTGTATATGCACAAATGTGAGTGCGTCAGCACACCGAGTCCCACTTGTTCTTGACTACTCGTGGGTAACCCATCATGCTAACAGGATGATAAAGCTGGATTTGATTTACTATAATCATACCAGGTCCACTGAAATAACTAGGATTTATATCCAACTAACTAACTAAAATCAAGTTCCCTTGACTTTAATAGGGCCAAACAATGGATATTTACGTTGGGATCCAACCCGTGTTCATTGTGGACTGACTTATTCCCCCTGCCCAGATGTGCTTGCTGGGGTGTCCTGTCTAAAAGTGTCTCTTCACGTCACCGTACTCTACCTCAGCCGGCTGCTCCACTGGCTGCGGAATCATTAGCTGGTTATGGTGCTGAAGTACAGTCTTCAAGTAATCTAGAACCGTCTGGCAGGGCACTGTGGAAAAGATCACACACATGACTGTGAAGACACGGCTTGTAATTAAAAGTTAATCGCATCAGCAAAACAAACATTGTTCCAGAAAGGGGAGAAAGGTTCCTCAAAGGCCGGTTGCATATCTTTGGGGGTTTGCCGCTTTGTAATATGCAAAGAAGTCCTCTGATGGACAATCTTAATGCCCCCCTGGGATTGTTGCAAGGATAAGAGTGCTTCCTGTGGAGGATGAGTGGGATACAATTATAGCCAAGGCATAAATACATCACCAGGGATGGGAAATGAGAACACAGACCCGCTTTTGAAAAGAGAGAGGTTGTGTTGCTGGTAGGAGGAGACTTGAATCAAGCCCAAGAGAAACCTGGCCGATACATGATAATGCTGTGCATGATTGGCTGGCTCTTGTGTCAATCACTAAGTCACCACCCTAACTGAATAGGACCCAACGAGGCTTCCCTGATGCAGGTTGGATGCCATTTCAACACCAGACAAACCTCTTGCTATTTGCCTGGAGATTTCAGTGTGTAACATAAAATGGTCTCCATGATGGTTTGAACCATTCTTCTGACTTTATGCCATTGTTCAGGTGCTGTTCAGCAAACAGTAAAGACCTTTCTGTTTGAAGTCTCCTTCATAAGGTGGCATTTAATTATGGGGTTTGTAATTGCATTTTCAGTTCAAAGCAACATTGAACAAAGTGCTCCGTATAATTGCAAGTACGGCTGTTAAATTTTGCATCTGACCATACTCTTATTGGTATTCTACTGTATGAGAGTGCAGGCTTGGAGAAACACAGTCAGGGTGCAATCCTAGGCAAGCTTTGCCAGAATGAAGTCATACAACTCTCAACATCCTTCCAGCCACTGACAGAGGTGGAGTGCTGGGAATCATAGGCCTTTTTCTTGGCTAAACATGCATGGAACTGCAACCTAAATGAATAAAAAACTGCTTCTTTTTTATTTTTTTAAAAAATCTTAGTCTTGTCTTATAGTTACTGGTTTACTTTTTCTTTTCTGTTTTCTTTTAAATATTCTTTGTTAAAAAAGATTTTTCTAAAATACTGAACTTTACATACAGGTGGTATAAGGCACTTGCAAGAAAACAGCCCACCTAAAGCGCCTGGCAGTGGGGAGAGAGATGACGAGGAAGGGCATGGATTCTGGTGGCTGCAGGTATACAGATATATCCACTGAGAAGCACAAGCAGGAGATGCGCAGCTCATCACCCAAGAGGAAGGTGTGCCCCAGTCTCACTCTCTGATATGTCCGGGCTCAGCTTGAGTTTAGGTCAGGTATCACACCTAACCAAGATCTGGTAGTGGGGAGGGCCTGCAGAGGTTCATGGCCACCTGCCTCATTCTCTCCCTCACCTCACACCCTCAGGTCCCCCCTCCCCCTTCCTAGCTCTCTGTGGCAAGTTATCCAAATGATGCTTAGTACTAGCCTTCAAACCCTGGTTTGCAATTTCATTTCAATGGAGTGTGACTTGTAGGCAATCTCCTAAGCACACATTGGCCAAGACAGATGCCACGGCAAGCTACGGGCTGTGAAAACCAAGATGTGGAGGAGGGTACACAAATGCAAGGCAGAAGGGGGCTTGTGTATTCCCATTCACCAAAGCATGGCATGGTGTCATGCCAGAAGTGATTCTGTGTGCCACACAGGCCTATATGAGGAAGGCATTATTCTAACAACCACCATTAACAAAATACTGGATTGCACAAAGCCTCTATATAACCCAGTGCACTGTCTCCAGTGGTGATCAGCCAGACACTTCTGGCAGGCTTAGAAGCCGTCCAAAGATGCATAGTGATTGGACAAGTTAGAAATATCCCAAATAAATAAATAAAATAAGCTGAGCAAGATGGAAATTTCCAGTTCCTGCTCCTTGCCCTCTGCTTCCAGTATGCAAGGAAATACTGTTTCCGAATGTGGATAGCCATGTCCTCCATGAATTTGTCTAACCCTTTTAAAAAGCCATCCACAAGTTAGTTACACACAGGGAGATGTAGTAAGGAAAATGCCACTGCCACCACACCCAAAACAGATGAGAAAGGAATGCAAAGTTGGCCAGAGAATAATGAACAGAGGGGAACAGTCATTCCTGTTTTCAACAGGAACACCTAGATACCAAAGCAAACACAGAAGGAACAGGAAGTCCAGACCTCTGCCCCCAAACCCCAAACAAACCAGAACTCAAGTAACAGGACAAGGCAAACTTTGGGGCATGAAAAGATGGGAAGAAAAAGTGAGAGGTGAGTAGGGCGGTGAAGCATAACACTGGGAGGCAGATGCTTGGATAATGCTGGAGGAATGGGAGAGAAGGTGGCTACCAAATACTACAATGTATATTGGCTCTGAAAAGCTGAGCTCAAGGGACAGAAGCTACCTGAATGTGCTATTTAAATGGTATGGATTATTATGGCACAGGCATTTTCTGAGTTGGATTCTGGACCATAAACCTGGAGGCTATCCTTCCCTGTGTACTGGGCTACAACAACCATTATCCTGAAAGGCCAGAGTGGATGGGGATGATGGGAGCCATGGTGTGTGTGTGAGAGAGGGAAGGGGTTGCCAGTTAGTGCAAGGCTGCTGATGTGGTAATAAAACTGTTGCTTTTAAAGTCTTGCTTTTGCTGCAACAGGTTAATGTGGCCAAGGCTCTGAAAATTGTCAATAAGAAGTCATCCCAGAAAGTAGATTATATAGAGGAAATGTTCTGCAGTATATTTATAGCTGCCTCCTTTTAATTTGTTTATATTTTGGTAAGCTGGGTGCCTGATCTGTGCTGAGAATATGGAATAAGATCTATAGTTACAAGTCCATGTGGCTGCAGCTGGCTGAATGAAATCTGAAAGCTGCATAGCTGCCTTGGAAGCACAGAAAGAAATCCTGGAAACTGTGATTAGGGCAGGTGCTGGGAAAGGTCTGTCCAAAACTCTCCTCAAAGAACAGTTCCTCTCTGGTGAGAAGCAATGACCGCAAAACCAGTGAATCGTACAGTTCTATCCGTAGCTACTAAGAGGGAGGCTCAGAAAGCATTTGCTCTCTGTAATTGTAACCTAAGTCTTCTGGGCCAATATGCTCTTAGAAACAATGGTTTGGACACTTTATCCAACAGTGATGCTAGTTGCTGGGCCTTATACTTTGCCTGGTTTTGTGAGATTACCTGGGATGCTCTCCAGCTTCCTTCGGAGTTCTTCATTTTCCTGTTGTAATGAAATGACCTCTTGCTCTAGCTCTTGGCATCGAGGACAGTAACCTTCCTCTTCCTCCTCTTCCTCCTCTGGAAGGGTAGAAGATGATGGGTGACCATGGGACTCGGAGGTTGCTGGGGAGGTCCACCCACCTAAAGTGTGCACTGGAGAGGTTGAGAGTGGATCTACGTCTGCCAGGTGGCCAAAATCGCTCATGGAGGAAGTGTTCTGAGAAGGAAAGCTTCCAGAAAGCAAATAGTTTTGCAGAGAATCAGTAAATACCCTCAGAAAAGCAGAGGTTTGCTGCTTCTTGTGCATGTACTGCAACTCTAGGTCTAGGTTGTCGGACGTCTGACTATGGACCATTTTCCCAAGCTGGCACTGTTCTGGTCTCTCGTTAAAGCTCATGCCCTCCTGCTTCACGCAGGAAGCCAAGGTGTGAGAGCGACTGTTCTCCAGAAGTTTTCCACCACAGTTTAAAAGACTAAGCACCCGGCTGCACTGCTGGGCAAAGGCGTCCAGAATCACACGGCTCTCTGAAACAGAAGAAAAGATGAATCGCAGAAACCCGAGGCAGAGCCACACGCCTGGCACAAATGCTGGCTGGCAGACAGATGTGAGGCAGTGGGCAGATCTACTTAACTATCATTAACATTTCTGTAAATACTTCCTCATTGAAACAAAAAACAAAAAGCCACTGGGCTATTCAGCCATTTAAGACAAGCAAATCTGAAAACAGTAACCATTAGAACATGTATGCCCATTTAGGCAAGAAAGGGTCTTACAATCAGTTGTAGGAACTTCTCCTGTCTAAACATGTTTATGATTGAGCCTTAAGGCTTTAAAGCATGAAAAGCAAACTGTGCAACTCAGGAGGCAAGATATGAATAGAAACATCTTCAAATCCTGCCTAAAAGCCAAGAGATAGGCACCAATGGTAGTTTTGAGGAAACGTATTTACTGTGACACAGAAGAAAACCTTTTTGCATGTGCCTGACAAATGAACCTTTTCTGCAGTTTTCAATAACGGAACAGGTTGATAATTCAACAAGTGATTCTTTAGAAAGCCAGGTCCTAAGCTGTTCAGGTATTTCAAGGTTAAAATCTACACCTTCAATTTGCAATATGATCCCAATAGTATACACTGGTCAAAAGGTGTGTTCCCACATGTTGCAGCAAAGGCAGCTTCATTAACAATCTAATTATATTAGTGAGAAATGACCCCTATCCAAACACATGGGCTTGTTCCTTTAAGTATTCTCTCCAATACTATCAGCAATTGACAATTCGTGTCCTTCTAGAAGTTCTGGTCTAAAACTCCCACCATCCCTCACCATTGGCTATGCTGACTAGGGCTGATGGGAGTGGATGCCCAATAGTATCTGGAGGGACACCGGTTCCCCAGCCCCACTCTAACCAGACAATGATTTGGATCTAGACTGTTGGCTCCAACAGCCATGCTGGCTTGGAATGATGGGAACTGCATTCTGGGTTCAGGAGAAAGCAATTGTAGGCACTCCCAAAGCTTGAGCACAAGGCCTTAAGATTATGGGGGAGGAAAGTGCCCCCTTCTCAATCAAAAAGGCACTCCTGCTCCAAAAAACTCAGTCTGCTTTTGTTTCATATCTCCCTTCCCAGTAAAAGTGCCAGTTAAGTGCCTATCTCTTTGTGCAGGCTTTGGGAGAATGGAGAAGTGCTCTGCTCGTTTTTGGTTTCTGACTGAAGGATTAAGTTGTTGGTTTTATAGTATTTTATAGGTGTGATTTTTAGCATTATGATTTTAATGGTGTTTATGAGGTGTACTGTGTTCTATAAAGGTCGTTAGCCACTCTGGGCCCTTTGAGAGGAAGAGTAGGCTATAAATCAAAATAAAGGCATGCATAAATAATAATCAATGTAATTACAGTACTTATGGCTGATGCTTGCACTTTTCTGGAGGAACTAGACTTTGAAGTGGGGAAGCAGTAGTTGCAAACAGGCCATTTATACTGGCATTTTGCAGCAAAATTTTTCAAATGTAGGAGAAACAAGATCCGGGCTACATGTGCGTGGCATCTTGTTTGTCATCTTCCTGAAATTCTTTTACATCTAACTGCAGGCTACCTTTCCAGTAAAACGAAGCCAGCCACATCCTTGGGCCAGGCAACATTACACTCAAATTTGGCCCAGGGTTCAATGGAGAAAGGCACCACAGCACCACGGAGCTCCTGGGGAATGCCGGGCATGGCTCTGAAAGAATCCAACGTCTAGCTGAATCTTAATGTCTCTAGACAGAGATCGGAAAAGGGTAGAACAATATGTGTCCTGACTATATGATTTAGAAAAGGGAAAGCTGCCAATCCATGGGGCTTAATTTTGTATGGGCTAACAGATCTCTTCATGGACACTTGCCAACTTTGGGCCTACAGTGCTGATAAGACTACAGCGGTGTACGACTCTTTATGCTTCAATACCATGTGGGGCCCGATGACTCTTAAGAGCCAAGACTACAAGTAAGGCTGCAGCTGACCTGGAAGCCTCAGCTATAGTGTGGCTCCAAAATGGATTCACTTCTTTAAAAAATATGTGATATAATTTTCACATTGCACACTCCTAGATTGTGCATTGCACTTCAACATAGTGCAAAGGAGTTTGGAGTGCATTTCTCAGTTGCTGCTTGACCAGCAACAACCTCGGCTCTTGTATGCTGATGTAGGTAATGGCCACCAAATAGGAGACATTTTAAAAACCCAAATCCTGACCACAAGCCACGGAACTATAGGCTTTTGTGGGGTGGGGGGCTGGGGGGGGGAGGGCATGCATTAGCATGCGCATGCACACAAAATGAGAGCAACTGTTAACATTCTGATTAGATGATAAAAGGATCATGAAAATTTAAATAGCAGTGGAAGCCTCAATACAAGGTTGGCTTCCCTCATTATTCACTCATTCCATTTCTCTTTTGAAAAATATCAAAGGAAGATATTGATTGGAACTTTGTAATGCAGATACACAGCAGTTTTTCATTCGTTTTAATCCTATAATCAGATTCTAGACTTGAAGCATTACTGTGTGCATTCTAATCATAATGGTCCCAAATTTTCAGAAGTTCTTCTCCCTTTTGTAGCTTTTCATTGCCTCTCCCAAGCACAAAGGAAGCAAGAGATGAATGAATGCTTGAAATGTTATATATAATCTGTTGAGTATTATGGCTTTCCTTGGAAGAGAGGAATGATCCATTTACTGACAAAACAGAAATATAAATGTCAATAACTTGCTACATTTTAAAATTGGGCAGCAACCAATCAGAATAGAGCAACAACTTTGTAAGAGAAGTCGTTGCCACATTTATTCCTTTCTTCTTCTTTAATTTATTTAGGGCACAAGCCAATCGACTGCATGTTCACTGCTCAGATGTCCCCAAATTCAGAATCCTCTACCCTGCTGGACTCAAGCTGGCAGGGCAAAAGCAGTGGTGGAGGTGATCCTCCATCTTGGCTGCGCCTTGCTAGGCAGGCTTTTAGCTTGCCTAGCTAAGTTGCTTTGGAGGGCAAGGGAAAGACTGGACAGGGTCCAGGATAAATTGTATCTTGGCCTCTCTGATCATCTCCCATCCCGGCCCATTGAACAGCTTCTTTCCTCCATCTCCTCCAAGGCTGCTTTCCCAGCCTTGATGAGGCAGCAAGTGTGGTTGTCTCTGTGAGGGGCAGAGGTTAGGGGTCAGATCTCCAACTCCCTTCCAAGGCTGGAGCGCCATCTCCCACCTGAACCATCCTATGCTCCGTGTGACAACTGTCTAGGAAACACAGGACCTTTCTTAATAAATTTCTTTGCAGCCTTCCAGACCACAAGTCTTTCACATATTTGATGGTGACGAGGAGATGTCTAGAAGGATCGGATTGTTGCTAGATAAATGTGTCCCACAGAACAAGGTCGGACAATTGAAAATCTATCTCCAACTAATATCTTAAGCAGTTGCAATCCTTTAAACACACATGAATTTGTAGCAGTGCATTTTGTGATGATAGAGACGGTGTCACAATTTACTAAAAAACAGCAAAAAATTAAAATATAAGCAGTTTGGTAAGTTTTCACTCATTAGCCAGAATCTGGAAACATGCTTCCTTTGCACTGAGCAGAATGCCTGTACACATTTCCTTTCATCTTAAAGTAAAGGGACTAGAGGCTTGCTCAAACAACAAATGAAAATGTACCTAAGCAAAGGGCCCTAAAATTTCTCTGTGTAGGCCTGCCCTCTTGGGCCCTGCGGCTGTGTCTCTGCCTCTAGGATCCAGTGCTCATGGCAAGGATGTTGAGTCATGTTCAAGTTCATCTTCTTTGAAGCTCATCCAAAACTGTGCACATCCAAGCAAAATGAAAACTTGTGGTGTGGAACCTCCTTGTTCAAGTGAAGGAACAGTTCCAGCTTGTACAATGAAAGGAACAAAGTGGATCTAAAACAGGTTTGGGTAGTCTTAGTTTTGAACGATATTTTGAGTGTTTAAGTTCTCCATATCTTCAGCACAACTGAATGTTGGCTAAATGTTCCTAATCTTCCAGTGCTATCAACAGTTGCATGGGCGCATAGTTCATAAACAGAATCAGAATGCATGGACTAGCTGACTACATTGCTCCAGTTCAAAGATGTTATCCGGACAAGCTGAGCTATAAAAGGGGACCACCAAGTTCTCTACTGGATGGCCCGAATGAAGAAGAGGTCATAATGAGCCCTTCATCTTACTGAAAAGGTACTCTGCAACACAGAGCTGGCACCACATGTAAAGGCACAGCACAAAGCACAGTCCTTCCTGGACTGTACTACTTCAAACTGCAACAAACAAAAGATCTCACATGTGGCAGGTTAGCAGATTGGGTAAATTAGGATAAAGCCCCCTCACCCAACTCATTAGCTCTCTACATGCAGGGAAATTGTGTCATTTGTCTTTTTTTTGTTTTAAAACACAAGAAGTCTTTCAAACAGGTGGTGTCCACTCGTGTAGTGGTACATAGTGATCTGAAGTGGTACAAGTCAAACGCTCACAAAATAGTCCCTTACCCTGGTCATAACATGGAGAATTCAAGGTGGGCTTTCTGGTGGAGACAAAGCACAGCAGCAAGGCATGCGTCTTCTTTGCGCTCTTCAGGGGCAATATGCAAATGGAAAATTTGGAGGTCCCTCAGAGAAACAAACATTGCGTGTGCTCCAGGTAAGGAGAAAGCTCACACAATGAGCACCTTCTGCCCTGCTTGAAGTTCACCTGTGCCTCCTTCCAAAAGGTCAGGTTGCTTGCAGATTTAATGCCCAGCTAACGTGCTATTGGAAAAGGTGCAGGTGCAGATGAAGTCACGTCACTTAATGTTGCAATGCTCATCCCTGTTTTCCATGGCAATAATAATATATTGTGTGCCTTGTAAAATTTGCTGCTGAGATGGGTTTAAGATATTATTATTATTATTATTGATGTATAAAGCTCTAAACAACTTAGAACCAGGTTATCTGAAAAATAATCTCCCAATAAGGTGGTCTAATGGGTCCATATAGGGGGAGAGAGGCCTT